TTGGGCTGGTGTCCCTTCGATTCCAAGCCAGAAGGAGAGCCAGTTGAGGTCTCGCGATTCTGACACATTCACGAGTTGGGATTTTCTTACCAAAAGTGGGTTGTGGCCGAACGAATCAAGGAAAGCGTTCGCTTGTCAGGGCCCCTTTCAAGTGCCCTTTGATATAGGTTGAGGATTGCCCAACCTGCCAAAGCCTCGCTGTTCGAAGGCAACGTTCATCCTTACCTTCCCTTTGGGTGAAGGATTCGATCCGCTGAAAGCCATGTTCCCAACGGAGTCAGGGATTACTCCCCTAGCTCCAGTGAAACCCCCAAAACGCAGTCCTTTCCCGAAACGAATCTGAACAGGGACGAGTCCTTTGGGCTCCATGTTAACGTGCCGATTGTCAGGGTCGGTCGGAGGTGTGGAGGCTCAAAGAAACACCTATGCAAAGGGATTTGGGCAAGGTGTTTGGAGGCGTGGGGGTTTAAGAAGCAAAACACAGACATATGTGACATATATTGATATATTATTTTAATATGTATCATAGTATATATGTATTATGTAAATATATGTAAACATATGTATACATATAAACATCACAAGGGGGAGTTGAGCAACCCATTGTGAACAGCCCGTGAGCTAGGCCCACGGGCTCCGTCTGTGATGCGCTTCTGGATCACAAGGCAGGCGTCCAGCCGATGGAATCATTTCTGATTTCCCCGGATCCCAGTCAAGCACAAAGAGGTATCCCGGAATTGTCCTTTTGGTTTTTGAACGGTGGTACCCTTTCTATGCAGGTAAATGGATCTACTGGGTTCAGTTTGCTAGTTTTTGCAAATCTTTGATACCCAAGGATTTTCAGGTGGGCATTTGGGGTCCTCTATGTCAGGCCCCAGGTCAGGCAATAGCAGGCTGGGACTCCCTGTTCTGTAACCCAGACCTCCAGTAGGGCTTCTTCTTCAATGATTTTCTGAAAGGTTCCCTCTAAACTTGACTACGCAGAAAGGGGTGTCTTTTTTAACCTCCAAGGCCGCTGGAGCAATCATGTTGGGAGGCGTACTTCATTTACGACATTCCCACACAAGCTGTTTGCCGCTCTTGGGTGTTCAACCTTCTTGAGGCCAAACAAGGCCTTCAGGTCTTTGCAGAAGCATCTTTGCGTGGTGTCGGAACGGCATTTTCGGCGAGATCTTGCCTGCCAGGCATCAGTGAATGCGGTGAATCAAAAGGGGCAGCCGCCAGCTCAGGATTCGATCCCACCCACTCCCTTTGCATCTGAGGTTTATTTGAATTCCTATGGGAAAATCAAGGGAGCCTGTCAAAACAGGTTTCTGCACCTCGCATCCCAAGCTTTATATGGCTATGTTGTGTTTTTTAGGCACTGCCTCAAAAATGGTTGACATAAATCCCCACCTAAATGATGTTCACCAAAGGGTCCCCCGTTGAAATGCACATTAGTATTCTGCTGGAAGACAGTCCTAGTCGCGAAAACACACTTTGGACCTTTTCTTGGCCAATCCACTCAGGAAAATAAGAGAACTGAGCACTCGTTCCCCACGTCTGTTGAAAACCCGTCCAGGCTGGGGCCCCCATAAGTTTTGAGGGGATCCTTAGTGAACCTCTCCTGCAAATTGAGCTGGATCCGATCGCGGGTCATCCAAAAGGAGATTCCCCATGCTCCGCAGGGGAGCAATTCCCATGCAGGCTTATAAGCTGCTTGACCATTTTGATGGAAGCGTTGACGAAGCCCAGCTTGAATGGGGGTCCGAAGGGAGGCGATTGGCCTCGGACAAGCCAAGGACAAGTCCTCATAAGGCCTTAATTATTGAGGTTAGAAAGTGTTGAGCCCCCTCCCCATTAGTCCGTTCTTGGAGCTCCATGACCACCCCGTACCTCCGCCTGACCGTACGCTGAGGTCCGCATTGCACTTGGCGAGCCGCGCAGGTCTCTCAGAGGCACGCCGCGTTGCCAGCATCCGCAAACTGCTCACGGCGATGACCACGTGCCAGGTACTCCTTTGGTTTGCACCTCGGGTGAGCCGAGAAGTGGTGGAATTGCCGGCAGCTCAGGTCTTGGAGCACTCGCTCTCAAAGTTGAAATGCTGTGGATGGATCAAAGGAGTACGGAGGTGTGTAGGAGGGCTTGGGAAGACTATCATCTTATGTGAGGCTTCCTGCCATCTCCTGCCCCTTTTGATGATGCTGGAAAGAAGGTGAACGATGATATGTGCTCTTTCCTGGGAAAAGCGGGAATACACCACACCCGCTAATCGAACCAGTGGTTTCTCTAGATGTGTGAGTCCTACACTCGGACAGCGCCGTTTGATTCAAAAGCAGCCATAAGGAAGCCTGGAGTTTTTCGGACGCAGTGGACAAAATTCGCCTTGCTCCAGCAAAGCGGCTTATCCTAGGGTTTCATCCATCCCGACAGGTGTGTTTTGTGGATTTTGTCCATCAGCAAGGGAGTTGTCAACAATACGGCCCCTTGGGACCAGATGCTCCCGCCTTTTTAAAGGGATCCAAATGGCACCGAAAGACAGTCCGTGTTGGCAGCCGACATGAAGCCAAGCCGAAAAGCCGAGAAGCGTGCGGCTCCAGCATTTGCTCCGAGCTTGTGAGGCGAGACGTGCACGGCGCTACGGCGGCGTACTATGCTCGCCATGCCGGGGTCAACAATGAGTTTCTGATGAAGCCAGGAGCCTGGACGGGACTGCCTTGAAAGGGCTGGGGGGTTGAGGTGTTTGTCCGGGACGTCTTTTTTGTTTTCTTGGCACCGTTGAAAAGCCCTTTGATGTCTGGGAAGCCGCGACATGGGTCCAGTATTTCCCCATCGGTCCCTGCCCCAGCTTTGCCAAGGGCTACCCTCCCTCCCCTGATTTCAGGTACCATCCCACTGGTTTCTATTTTACTTACAAAGACCAAGCAAGGCAAAAAGAACAAGATGAGGCCAAGTAAAGCCCAAAAAGGCAAAAAAAAACAGGCACCATGCGGCTCATGTGTTTGCCAAACTTGTGGCCATGGTTCAAAACCAATGGTACCATTTTGGGATAGGTGCAACACCCATTTTAGTCTATTTTAGTGGGGATTGGGATGTTCACTGGCGCCCTTGTGGCTAGACTGGCAGCCTCACTCCGTTGGTGTACCGCCTCTCGGGTTTAAGGCACAAGCTCACTGCGGCGGATCCGCCGAGCACCACGGAGCGCCCGCCGCGGGCTGAGTGGGGACAGCGCGAGCCCCCCACGGGTTTTCGGGGGGTGGAGGGGGTTACAAGGGTCCAATGGGTTGAAATGGGTACATGGGTTTAGTAAGCTAAATTGACTAGGTTCCATGGACTGTAACAACAGCAGCTAATGGAGCGAAGACCCATTGAACGGAGGGGTTTGGGGTTCCCACAACCTGGCTGTTCGAGTGCCCGAAATAAATCCGATCCGGAGCGTTTGGGTGAGTCCCAAAACTCCCCCTCATGACAAGCTCGAGGGAGGCGTGGGGAAGATTGAGGGCTGGAAAATGTCGGAGCAAGCATTCATGGAAGCTGTCGGACCTTCATGAACCCCTGTCGCGGACAGTTGCAGGCGGAGATCCCGCCGGGAGGGAGAGGCTCAGGAGGCGGGGGCTTCTCGGTTTGTTCCTGGTTCCTATGAGGCGAAAATTCGCTCTGGATGCTAACCCCTAAGATCCCTGTCCGTCCCCACGGCAAACCACTCGGGTTTAGGACACCGACACTTTGCCTCCCCCCCATCCACCACTGATGTTCCTTCAAAATCAACCAACGAAACTGGGGCCTTCGCATGGCCGCAGTCCGTAGCCGGAAAAGCAGGATGGCGCCCGCGAACGCAGCGCGTGGGCCACGAAGACTCACCTGCCGCTGCCACCGCTGCTGGAGGAAGCCGCCCGATGGTTGGAGCTTTCGTCCTATCCAGTGAAGGGAGTATTTGTTGTCGTCTGCGGTAGGAATGGCATGACATAGTGTACACTCACCACATTGCCACTGGAATGGAGGCTAGACTCAGCAAAATCCCACATTGGTCAAGGAAGGTTTGCGCACGTCGAACCCGGCGATGAAGCTTTGGCTGGCTGATGGGTCATCGCCTTTTTCGGCGCCGAGGCTGCACTCTCCATTTTCGCCCGTGAACTTTTTCCAGCACCTCGTCCATTTGTATGTCCTTTCTAACTTTGAGTTGTATACGAAGCCGACCTACCATGTTCTTAGAGGTTGTATTGCCTTTGTTGTGTTGCAAGGCTTCGATTCGCTTTGGATTCCACCAGCTGAGGGGTTTCCCACCCCCAGGCGTACTATTGAGCAGCCCCCAATAAGGAGCCACTTTCAGGAACACAGAAAAGACAACTGGGTCAACGTTTGGTGACATTGTACATGTTAAATCCATGTTGATCCTCGGCTTCAGGGTGAACGTTGACCAAGAAAGCCGACTCCACACACTTCGCCCTACTTCTAGGTCCCCCAGTAGTGCCCTTTTACCCTTTGTTGGGGTGGGTTCCCCTACTAAAATAGACTACAGAAGAAAAAAAGGTTACCCTTATTCTAACTTCTCTGCTGGAGGACCTAGACTTGTTTTTTTTGCTGCAGGACCAGCACTCCGAGGAGGAGGAAGCCTTCTTGGTCTCCAGCCTCAGCTTGAAGGCCCCGGTTTTGCTTTTCAAGTAAACGGAAGGGAGGTGCATTTTGTGGGTTTCAATAACCCACCCCCCATGAGGGGGCGCTCTCTCTTTGTAAACAGGGGTTCCTGATGGTGTGTTGCAATTTTGTTTATTCGATTTGTTTGCATCGTTTTTTGTTTCTTGTTTGCTTTAGCTTCAATACCCCAAAGAAAGCGGAAGCAAAGTCGGCTCTTGTGGAGAGACTCCTTTTTGGATGGCGGCTAAAGAGAAACCGGAAGGACACCTTCTTTTTCTCTTTCTATCTCTCTATCTCTCTATCTCTCTATCTCTCTATCTCTCTATCTCTCTATCTCTCTATCTCTCTATCTCTCTATCTCTCTATCTCTCTATCTCTCTATCTATCTCTCTATCTCTCTATCTCTCTATCTCTCTATCTCTCTATCTCTCTATCTCTCTATGTCTCTATGTCTCTATGTCTCTATGTCTCTATGTCTCTATGTCTCTATGTCTCTATGTCTCTGTCTCTCTGTCTCTGTCTCTCTGTCTCTCTGTCTCTCTGTCTCTCTGTGTCTCCGTCTCTCTGTCTCTCTGTATCTCTGTATCTTTGTTTGCCTCTCTCTCTCTCTCTCTCTCTCTTGCTCTCCGCTCTCTTGTTTCTTTTGCGGGAGGGTTTCCGTCTACAAAACATCCTTCTAAAATTAGCCAGTGGCCGTCACACCCCCTACGCTAAACGGGCAGCAGAACCGGAGGATGCGGAGCGGGTGGTGAACGGTCCGAACGATGAGGAGGCGAGTCAAAGGGGGCCAGCTTGGAGTGCCCTTGTCCCCAGCCACCGAAAGGGGGAGGTCCACTCCTGGGGATACTTCTTGGGCATGTTTAGGGGATCCGTTGTTTTGTTGGCAGACGCAAGCCAAGTTTTGACTGTCTGCCCGGATGTGGTTGGCGGTGCTCAGTTATTTTTGTAGTGACTCACTTTTACATCTGGAGACCTGCGAGAGGAATTGCCGTGCTCCACGGTGGTTGCCCCGCTGGCCGAAGAGGAGCCTGCCGGATGCTGGGCATGAAGTGGGCCTAAAAGGGGATACCCCTGATTTTCAGAATCCTCCGCTGCTGTGGCTTGGCAGTCGGTTTGCACAGGGAGAAGGACCGTTGAGCATTGCAGTGGCCCTTGCAGGAAACAACAAAAGGTTGATCATCACATGTGACATGTCCCCTTTTCATCTTCCTCTTCAATCATCCATCTCTCCCATTCAAGAGGAAGGGAGATGCTGACTGGGAACCTGATGCACAATGCATGCAAGGGGGGGGTCGACACGTGTTGTGAGTACGAGAGAAATCGTGAGGAAAGTACAGGGTCTGTGCACCAAACTATGTTTGTTGGGAGGACCCATTTGTTGCTTTGCACAAAGAAGGCCACAATCCCTTTCAAGAAAAGTGGCCTTCCAGGTGTTTTGAAGGGGGTGCCCTCCATTCGGGGGGTGGGGGGGGGGGGCCAACTATGGCAGGAGGACAAAGCGGAGGATGCATTCCTGGCACCGGAAGTTCCGGTTCCGAACGGGAGTGCCGCTCCAGTTGCTGGCCAGCCTTGGCGGGGTGGGAATGGCAAGCCGGGGTCTGTCAAAGGAAGAAAAGAAAAAGGGAGCAGAAACAAAGAAAACAAGGGACCCTGGCTTTCTTCGGGGTACGCAGAAACCCTGGAAAGTCTTCAGACTTGTGGAATCGGAAAGGAATCTGTCCAAGGAAGTGTGCACCTTGAGGGTTGGCAGACCCCTTTCTGGCAAGGAAGCCGTTAGAACACACTCTGACTTGAGATGGGAGGCTCACTTGGGGTGTCTTGCTTGAAAACTCTCCATGGGCCCGCGCCCCATTTTAGGGACTTAGCAAAGGAAACCAAAACACCGTTGGGCTTCGAGCCCAGAACTTTGACTCTGAGGACTGCGAAGGGGTGGACTCGCAGCCAGAAGTGGAGCACGCGGAGGAGGTGTCAGGCGACGCGGAGATGTCGGGCGAGGAGCCGAGCCCGGTGAAGAGCCCCAGCGGAGCCCCACATCAGGCGGAAGCTGGAGCTACCTCGCGAGCCGGCGCTTGGCATTGTGAGCTCAGACGTAAACATGCGTTGTGTCATGTTCTGTGACGGAACTTGGTTGAGTGGGCTAGCTACACAAAGCAGGGACTGCTTCATGTAACCTGAGCCATCAAGAGCCGAGGTCCTTTCTGCTGGGCCTACCCAGGTAGCAAATAGCTATGGGTAAAGCGATGCTGCAATATGGTTTGCTGCAGCGCGCGACAACTTCGGGCACCGAGAAAGGCTTTTCATAAAGGGATCAAAGCATAGAAGATGCCTGCTGATCTGAACTGAGCCGTTTCTAGCATTGGTTCGAGGCTTCGACCCACAGGCCTTCTAAAACCACCCAACCTATACCTGGAGTCTCCATGACCTTTGGAAAATGGGCCAATGACCCATTATTTTGGGCAATGAACCATTTTTTAAGGGCCATGGAGACTCCAGGTAAGAACAACATCTGCCAAAACCGTTGGACGGTGGCCTGCGGTGCTGCTTTGCCAGGCCTGGGCTGAAGAAGGCGCCGCGCACGCCGAAGCCAAGGAAGCCGCGGAAGCCACAGAAGCGGCTCCGGTGTCGCCGGAGTCGGCGACCGATCACCTAGGCTGGCTGGTCACAGTCTCGTGACTTTGTTTGTGGTCAAGTTTTGAGACAAAGATTGGGGGTTGGGGGGGGGGGGAGAATCAGGAATTTCCTTCAAAGATTCAGGGGACTCGCCAGTTTTCCCATGTCAAGTTGGGAGGACATGAGATTCACAACACAATCCCACAAGAACCAGGGTCCCAATTTTTCACGAGGACACAACAAATCCCACAAGAAAGAGAAAGGGTCCCATGTGTTCATAGCGGGAAGATCATATGGCTCAACTGATGGCAGGTGGATGCGTTTCCTTTTGGCTTGCCGAACAAAGAAGCTTACAAACAGGGTTTCGTGAAGGACACATCCAGAAAGCACCCGCGTTGCAGGGGCATCTGGAATCTTCTAGCTGAAGGTGATGTTTGGACCTCCCCCCCTCCCGTGTCAAGTCGAAGTTGTCCTCGTTGGTTTCCATTTAAGAACTCACTCGAAGGTTGCAACCACGTCCAGAACATAGCTCCATTGGGCCCCCGCCACAAAGACTGAGCCTACCTGCCAAGTCGGCAGTTTTTGGGGTTCGCGGGCTGGTCCTTTTTTAGGGGCTTGTGAAAGTCGCTGAACCGGCCAAGGCTTCGCGCCCCTCGTCTCGAACCCCCCCCCTCCGGTGTGAAAAGCAAATCTGCGCAGATCGGGCCGACAAGATGGTGACCTGGGAGGAGGATTGCGGACACCCAGGCAGCCAATGCAGTCGCTGCTCAGTAAACAAACAAAACAACAGCACCTAATTCACCCAATGCTTAGTACGGGGTTCCGGTGCTTGAAATCAATGTCAATTTGGGCTCAGGCTTTCCCTTGCAACTTTCTTTCGGTGTGGATGATGAAGCCAGAACGGGAGAGAATATATTGAACAAAAGCGTGGTTTCTCATGGTAGGCACCTCCTTTTCAGTCAGAGGTTGACATGACTTCAAAATCGAGCTACTTGGAGTATGGCGTGCTTTCACCCAACTCAACGCCTTTGTTCATGGGGTGCCGACATGTGGCAGGCTCGGCCTTGCTGCCGAGCTCCGCTGATGTGCAAGGCCGGGAGACCTCCAAAGTGATTGGTGGGTGAAAGTAGATGGCGAAGTCGGTTCCTCCTGTTTGGTTTTTTTTGTTTCGTCATCCCCCCGACAAGAAGGGGAATCTATATAGTGCCATCTACTCTCCATGCTGGGCCATGCCGGGCCTTTTTTGACCCCTACCTGTTTTTTAGACCCAAAACAAGAGGGAGGCAGTCAACAGAAGCAGGTTGCGCGGTTGGCAAAACCGGATCCCCCAAATCAGTCCTCAATTCGGCTTTATTGCAGTGGTGCCCAACACCCCAGTCCAGGGCTCACTCAATTTTCCGTGTTTTGGTCAACCCAATGACCTTTTTGTTTGTCCTTCTTTGTGTTTTCGAACAGATTAGTCTGGTAATCCCTGGCACTAGTGTTGTCGCCTTGCGCAAGGTCATGCATGTGCGTCTTTCCAGGGCAAACTACTCGAACGAGAGAGCCAGCTTCCGGGCCCAAACTCGAAACTCTTTCGCCCAAAAGAGACGACATCTTTTTCAACCCTAGGACCCCCCCCCACCTGGCCCCATCAATCGACCTGTAGTTGTTCAATCCAGGGTGGGCAGTTGGCAGAGATATCAGGCCGGGGTGTGGACAGCTTGGCGGACAGCGTGGCGACCTGGGCTATGAATCTGCTCGATACAACTCCGGTTCAAGGGTTGCTTCAAAGGGAGGGGTTTCAAACATGTGAGTTCCCTCATTGAGACAAAGGTGGGGGGAGGGGGCGTCTAAACTGCAGCAAAAATACTGTGAGTAGCTTACCGAATCGCAGGCCGGCGAGGAGAAGACGGAAGGGCGGTAAACGCCCACGGATCAGTAACACGGTAACACGTGCTGCAATGAGCTCTTTGAGCAAGAAATGTGCTGGGAGAGGAGGCAGGCCGGAAGGCCGGCGAAAGGCCGGCGAATATGTTGAACAGCCTTCATAGTGGCAATCATTTGGGCAGGCACAAGCGCAACCTACACGGGCTTTGCTTCATTTGAGTTCCATTCTACAAATCTCAAAAAGGCACCCATGCAAATTTGGCTATGAATTTAACTGGGCAACGCCCTCACTCAAAGTGGTTGGTGCGTGTGAATGATGGATCCTCCAAAGGCCTCCCAATTGAAGTTTCAATGGCCAGGGAGCTTCCGCATCGGAGAATCCGAAAATGGCGGGTTTTTGCCACGGCCTCTTCCGGTCCCCCGAACATCGAAACTGGGATTCCACGGTTGAGGTCGCCTCGCGGAAATTTTCATGACTGCAGCTCGGTTCCGCCCGAGGCATCTGACGCTTCGGACGTCTCTTGGTCAAAACGGGCTGGGAGGGAGGAGGAACCTGAAAGCCCCGGATTTGAATGTGCCTTGGCAACTTTTGCCTTACGTGGTTTTTGGCAGGGGGGTCCTTTTCAAATCATGGCTGTGAGTAACAAGCGAAATTCTGTCATTGTTCAAAGGTCCGCAAGACCTTGCCTGGCCAACCTTCCATGTTGAACGGGGCAGATGCGCAACGATCAAGAACTGGCTAGTTGATATTTGGAATTGGGTCAGTTTCTTTGACTGAAGTCAGAAGTCGGCGCGGAAAGCAAGACATCATTTACATCCTGTACATCCTGTACCTCCTTTACCCATTCCTTCAACACCAGTTTGGATCAACATCATTTTCTAGGGCATTTCGGCCCCAAGGGCAAGCGTTTGGTGTCTGACTTAGGCCTCGGGCACCAAGGCCAGGTGCCTAGATTGCCATTTTGGGGGTTAAACATCATCGTTTGCGCCTGTCAGGTGGGGAACTGTGTCTAAGGGTGGAATCTCTATTCTGTTTACCCACTGTTCTCTTCAGCTACCACTCATCTTCCCGGGGTGTTGCCAATTGTTTGAGAAAGATCCCTGAGCAGAATTGGTAGCGAGATTGCCGTCAGCAGAAAATATGGCTTTGTCTCAAAAGTAGGTTTGCTTTCCTTAGCCAGCACCGACTGCTTTTCGGACTCGGACGTAAAACAGTTTTGAAGGATGGACCGGGGTGATTTTGGCTGTACCCAAACCAAACCTCTTGCCGGGCCCGTTTGTACCCTTGCTTTTGTGGGCGGTTTGATTTTTCGGAGTATACATGTTGCTGCGGTTGCCTCCCCTTTGGGCCTCAGCTCATGCACGGCAGGGGCAGAGGCGAGAGCGCAGGACCTCCGCGAACCAGGCAGGGAATGAGGGGCTTTTCCCCTTTTCAACCATCCAACTGGTGGTTTTCCCTTTATTCGGGAACCTCTGGGTTCATTCCATTTCTCATTCCCTCTGAGCACCATTAGCTTGGTTCTAGTCTAGTACACATTCACATGCTTGGGTGGTGGGTTTTGCTTTTGCTACCCCAAAAAGCTGGTCCGAACCTTCCAAACTTTTGTTTGAGGTTCAGTCACGCAAAGCATAGTTGCTGGCGGTTTTGTACCCTCAGGAGAGGGCCCTTTCCACCGCTGGCCGTGTTTTTCCGTACCTGCAGGTGAGCCCCCCACAAATGAGGTGTTTGCACATTTTCTCGCGGGAAGTCTGAGTTGGCAGGCAGGAACATCTGCAGCATGCCGAAGCAGGACCAATTTTGGGCCAGCAGAGCCAAACCGCTTGAGGCCTTCCTGTGGCAGCTCAACACTGAGCCCTCCGTGGAGCCTGTTGACATCTGAGGTTTGCGCGAATCGCCGGTGGTTCCTCCTGTCTCGAAACGCCGGTGGCGATTTGCCCAGTTGATTGGACCAACCATCGAATGGATGATCGTTTGGGCGGTTTGTGTAGATGTTTGGGGGTTTAGATGTTAGACTATGTGTTTTTCACTACCCGGTTTGCAGGAGATTACAACTTAGAATCGGGATCTGTCGTAAAGTAGACTGCGCAGTCCAACATTGGGAGCTCAATTCAGGGCTTGACAAGCCTCTCTCTTTGCGAAGCCCTTTGCCTCGCCTCAAGACTGACGTCTTGGTTAGTGAATGAGCCTTGCTGTGCCATGCTCAGCAATTGTATGCCATGCTCGGCCACCGTTAATGTCTTCAAAGGCTTCCAGCAGTTTCTTTGCAGGGAGCCTGACCAATGAAGCGATGCTGTCGGTGTGATGCTTGCAGATCGGAAAGACGTGCACTCTGCGCAGTTACCGGCAAGCTCTCACAACTTGGTCTGTTTATTAGAGAGGGCCAGAAGGATGTGTCTCTTTTTGGGGAACCCTTCTTTGCCTGGTTTAGGGAAATCAAAAGGAAACCAACCACTCCTGGGTCAAATTTTGAGAGACTGAAAAGGGTAGGCCAGGGAGGCGTTTCCCGGAACTTGGGATTCCCAGTGATTTGTTGGGCCCGATTCTGGACTTACCTTTGGAGACATGGGACACTAATTGTTTGGGAAACAGCCAATTGCTCGGTCATTTAAACCAGGCGATTTCTTTTGGGAGACGATTTGTTGAGACTTGTTTGGCTGTGTGCAGGCAGGAAGTGAGTGTGAGCTGAGGCATGTCGCCACTTCTCAACGGGTAGCTCGCAGGAGGTTTTGACCCGCTCGCACGGTGTACCTTTGGCTCAGGGTTCATCAGCCAGGGGCCTGTTGCATAACTTTTGGCGAAAACCATCGGGAGCCCAGCCTACTGGGGCTCTCAGATTTGCAGGACTCATTGCAAGTCAGGCGTTTCACAAATCTCAGGGCGGTTCCTTATGGCCGGAGCCATGGGCGCGAAGGTGAATGCACACCACCCTGCATCTCGGCAGCGAGTGTTGGTGCGAAGATCCGTTCGCAAGCCCTTCGTGCCCAAAGAGACCCGCAAAAGGATCGCTTGGGATATGAACGTGCGCCGCAACAACAAACATCTCGAAACATCTCGAAAGGAGGGGTTTGCAATCTCACCCATGATGAGGGTTCCGTTCATAGGGAGGCCTGATTTGGGCAGTGTTTTTTGCATCATAATCTACCCGTGCAAGAAATCAACATTACGACGGACACACAACCAGCAAGGCAGGGCGAGAGAGAGAGAGAGAGAGGGAGAGAGACAGAGCGAGAGAGAGAGAGAGAGAGAGAGCGTGACAAAGAGATGCAGAGAAGCCATGTTGGCTGAAGGCATTTTGGCTCCAGCCACATTTGCCGAGAAGCCTGGCAGGGCGGCTGAAGAGCCATGCAGATCTTTGTGAAAACGCTGACCGGCAAGACCATCACCTTGGACGTGGAGGCTTCAGACACCATTGACAACGTCAAGGCCAAGATCCAGGACACATTGCCAGGCTTAGCTTACATGTTTAACTGTTTTCCTTTATATATAGTTTCCTTCATGTTGCCTTTCAACCAACAACCAGTCCAACCTTTTGAGGGGGGGTCTAAGTCTGGCCCAGGACAAGGAGGGCATTCCACCAGACCAGCAGCGCTTGATCTTCGCGGGCAAGCAGCTGGAGGACGGCCGCACCTTGAGCGACTACAACATCCAGAAGGAGTCCACCCTCCACCTCGTGCTTCGCCTGCGCGGGGGCGTCATCGAGCCCTCCCTGGCCGTGCTGGCCCGCAAGTTCAACTGCGAGAAGATGATCTGCCGCAAGTGCTACGCGCGGCTGCATGCCCGGGCCGTGAACTGCCGCAAGAAGAAGTGCGGGCACTCCAACCAGCTCCGCCCCAAGAAGAAGCTGAAGTAAGCCGAACGAGCCACGAAGATCCGGATGGCCGAAAAAAGACGCGCGGACGGACAGTCGACTGTCAAATAGGTCCATGAGTCCATGTGTTCGGAAAACACTGCTTCCCGAGGAACAAACCGCAAGTCAGTTTTTTCCAGAGAGGCAAAGACTAGCTCAACTCACGGCAACCGCTGTGGCAAAAGCCTGACCTCCACCCCAGAGAGAGAGACGGTATCCCTGACAACCTCCTTTCTGAAGCAGCCAAAACTCCGAACCACTCCAGAGCCTACCAGGGCCTATCGACCCCAAAGCTTTCCCGCTTGGGCTTATGATCAGGCTACCCCTAATTTGTGGTTTGGATTGGTGGTTTGGGCAAGCTGATTTGCCCCCTCCAGTGCAACCCGCCCTGGGCCCTGCAATGTGATAGTTGTGCCTCTGACCCATTCCTTAGGGCCCTGGAAAGCTTTGAAGGGCTCAAAAAGCAATAAGGAGCCTCAGTGCAGCTGTTGAGGAAAAATACCTCGATCTAAACCACCAGACAGTTTCAACAACCCATTTTTGAGAATCACTGCTTATACGCCTCGCCGGTTCTCCGCGGGTTTTGTCCGAGGCCTCACCCGGCCTTCGGCGCGCGGCTTCGGCACTTGGCGGAGGTGCAGCCCGAAGACTTCGCAGGCGCTCGGTGCGATTTCGCGCCCTACAGCCGGGTTTTTTAGGAACCCGAAACCCGGTTTGGGGTCTGGCTCAGATTTTTTTGGAGTGTTTCGGGGGGTTAGCAAAGTCGGAAAAAACCGCCACCACGTTTTTTTGTTTGGGGCGGGACTTTCTTAAGAAAGACATCTCTCAATTGGGTGCTTGGATTTTGGTGTCTGGCTTCGCGCTCAAGCGTCCAGGCTACGGTGACAGCTGCACACCCTGCGTGCTGCCGCTCGGGCGCACAAAAATAGGCGGCTTGTCCGGATCCCATGGGTTTGGCTCGAAATTGGGCCTGAAACCCCTCAGATTGGTGGATTTCCGGTTGGTTTCCCTATAAAACGCTTTGTCACCATAAAAGGCCACAAACCCCAAAATCAACGCTTGCTGCTCACCTGAGCCACAACCAAGCTGCCCTTTTTATTCTTTTCATTGGTTTGTTAGGTACCCTCTGAGGACCACCAATCCATTGATAGGTTGCGACAGAGAATGATCCAGTTTCCATTCACTCGCCTCGCGCAAGCAGCGGATGTTGCGAGGTGTCAAAGGTTCAAGCTTCCAACCAGAATGGGGGTTAAAGGAGCAGATAGCCAAGAGTTCGGATGGGAACGCCGGATGTTCTCGCCCCTGATTTTTTGATCGGGGGAGTGTCCCCACACGGATGACTTTGCCGGCGGGTGACACCACTGCCCCAATCGGGCTTGAGTACTCCGGGGCCAGCATTCTCACCTGAAGCATCTCTGCAAATGCGAATTGCTGCTCCAACCATCCAAAACAGGAACCGGCGCATTTTTTTTTTGGGGGGGGTGGCACTACCGTTTTGCTTCCTGCCTCCGGGCACTGGAACCTCCCAGACCCCCCCTCTTCGCCTGTGGGCCGCAGGCGAGGCCTGGCTCCCGGCTCGAGGCAACAAGCGGAGCGGCTGGTGGCTGGCCTGGACGGGAGGCTGGACACGCACGCGCGCACGCGCGTCTGGCTGGCTGGTCGGGTTCATAGGGGTTGGTTGTGAGCTTCTCAGTTGTTCAGGGAGCTGAGCCCCCGGGGCTGGGCTGGGGCTCCCTTGCCCGGTCCAGCGTCTAAAAAGCCATGGCTGGCAGCTCCGTCTTCAACCTGCTCCTCGTGAACCCCCTGTTCACCCTCCTCTTCTTGGCCGTGTTTGTGGTTTGTTGTCCATGGGGTGCTTCTGCTTGGAGGCGCAGGCTTTTGGCCCGCCGTACCCGTGAAGATTCCCGGCCTTTGGGCTGGCCCCATCTTCTGAACACCTGTTTGGGTGAAGGTGCCGCGGGCCTTTCCTTGCGGGTTTTTGACCCCTCTGATGACTCGTCCTCTACACGCTCTGCGTCAGCATATTTGGGTGGTTCTTCCTGGAGCTTGGTTGTGCCCTCTCGTCACTGTGGGACTTTCGGCAGTTGTGATGCAGGCTGCCTTTCTCACGGTGCCTTTGGGTCTCCAGTACTTGCAGCAGTCGGTGGCAAGGTAGATGCGGGATTTTTCCTACCTTCCCTGCCGGTGGGACTGGTACTTCGTTAGTTTTCAGTCCCTCTACTGTGAGTGGCTGCAGCCGTGTGGTGCTTGACCTTACTTCTCGGCGTTCTTGGGCCAACGGCTCCGGAGGCCCCGACTTCCTCTGGCTGGATGTGGCTTTGTTGCTGGATCCCTGTTCAACTTTCGGGTTCTCCGCTGTGTACAGCATACTTTTGATTTTGTGATCTGCCCTCTTCTGTTGGGCGCTTCAATTCGATGCCACGTCACTCTGGGTGGCACTCCGTTTCACGCAGCACCTCGCTGCCCACTACGCCATGTGTGGGGTGAGGCTTGGCCCCCCGCACATTGGCTTTATGGGGCACCAGTTGCCCGTTTCTGTGAGGTCCTGGGGCGGCATGCCCCTGTGACCCGCGTTTCCGCATGTCCTCACCGACATGGAAGCGCCACGAGTCAAAAGGCTTTTTGGCTGGTTGCAATGTGGACCAATGAAAAGAAGGTGGTTGCGAAATGGCCGGTGGACGCGATGCAAGGTTTGTTTGGCACCTTCCCTGAACCGCTGTTGTTTGTTTGCCCCTTTACAAGTAAGTAGAGGGAACCAGTTTGACAGGACTTGACTGGATGTGTATGCGCGATGCTGGATTTGCCTTGCTCACGCTCGGGAGTCTAAGTGTGAAGTGTGTGTGTGTGTGCGTGTGTGTCTGTGTGTCTGTGTCTTGTGTGTGTGTCTGTGTCTGTGTGTGTGTGTCTGTGTCTGTGTGTCTGTGTGTCTGTGAGTCTGTGTGTCTGTGTCTGAGGGTCTGTGGGTCTTTGTGTGTCTGTGTGTGTGTCTGTGTCTGTGTCTGTGTCTCTGTGTTTGTGTATCTGTGTGTCTCTGTGTCCGTGTGTGTCTCTGCGTGTCTTGGTGTGTATGTCTCTGCGTGTTTCTGTGTGTCTCTGTGTTTCTCGGTGTGTCTCGGTGTGTCTCGGTGTGTCTCTGCGTGTCTCTGTGTGTCTCTGTGTGTCTCTGTGTGTCTCTGTGTCTCTCTGTGTGTCTATGTGTGTCTCTGTGTTTGTGTATCTGTGTGTAATTATGTGTCTTTTTGTGTGTCTCCTCGTATCTCTCTGCGTCTTTTTTGTGTCTGTGTGTCTCTGTGTGTCTCTCTGTGTCTCTGTGTGTGTGTGTACGTGTGTGTCTCTGTGTGTGTGTGTGTGTGCGTGTGTGGGCTGTTTCTCTGTGTGTCTGTGTGCGTGTGTGTCTCTGTGTGTGTGTGTGTGTGTGTGTCTTTTTCTCTCTCTCTCTCTCTCTGTCGGTGTCCGCTTCTTCTTTCTTTTGCAAGAAGATGGGGGAAGTGAGCAAATGTGACATATTATGAAGGCACAAACGGTTTGACGAAGCCAGCAACGCAGGGAGGAACCTAGCTCAAATACCATGCAGGCTAGTCGTTTGACGTGGCATTCTCAGTGTTCCTGCCTCTGAACATGGAGTCGGGGCCTGCCACCCACCCCCGCTGGGTCAGGTGCCAAGCAGCTTGGCAAAAATGGCGCTGGGCGTGTTGCGAATGAGTCGCCAATTCCCTTCGAGGAACCGATTGAACCTTTCCTCGGACCTCTGGTTTCCTTGCTAGTAACCTGATTGCTAGCCAAAAATGCCATGCCGAGTCACGGCGCTTTTCAAGATTGCGCAGGTGTTGAAATCATTGCCGGCTTGGACTTAAGTTTCGACTATTTGCCTTTTTGGTGTTCCGGAGTTTTGCCTTCAACCAGCAAAACAAGCAATGTCAACTTTTGCTGGGGGGTCTAAGTCTGGCCCAGAAGCAAGTCCTCCACCGCTGTCAGGAGCGACTGGCAACTTGTCATAGCTTTTGCCGTAAAGGATAGGACGTTGGGGACAAAGCTGGGCACTTCGCAGTGGACGGCCACTGCAAGCTCGGCACCTGGGCAACCTGGTCTTTAGGAAACGGGTGGCTACCTTTCTACCTGTTTACATGTTACAATGTGTTGTACCTACAAATATTATATTATATGTGTATACACAATTCACATATATATATATAGGTGTATGTATATGTTGTATATACACGCATAAATTTTGTATGTAGGCGAGACGTGTATGTATACATGCACGTGTGCATAATCTTCCGGAGCATTTGTCAATACATACATGTATCAAGGCACACCACGGTAGGTACATCGCCTTGTTTTGCTGTGGTGAGGTGAGCTTCTCCCCCACCTCGTCCCTCTTCAGTTTCGAGAGAGGCGAGGCCGAATGTCCAAGGCGGGCGGATTGGTTCTCCATCGGAGGTTTCCAACTTAGCTCTCCTCTGGGGCTGGCTGGCTGGCTGGCTTGCTTGCTTTCTTGCTGATCGATTGCTGTGTTTATTTGTTTGTTTGTTGTGCTACAGTGTTGTGTGTCGAATCAAGAAGGTGAGAGTGAGCCAAGGAAGCTCAGAGACAATTCGAAAGTCGAGAACATGAAGCCCACACCGGGCCTCCATTCGACATCCAGGGTTTGTGTTAGGCGTCCTTCCTCAAGGGTTCCAAATTGCGCAAGAGGAGGGGTTGACTGGGCTCATGATTCTTCAAATGTCTGGTTGTCAAAGTCCCTTTTGGGTTCCCTGTCCTCATTTGTCCGGAGACTGGCTTTGCTAGTGGTAGATTTATCTCGATTTCCCTGTGGTGTGACCGGGATTACCTTTAATCTGGGAGAACGACGAAAATGTTCAAGTGACGAGCAACAAGCGGATCGCCCTTTGCTGGGAGCCCAGTTCTATCAAATTAGAACAAATTGAGAAAGATTTGACGAGTATTCAATGGCGGTTCCCCTGCGGCCAAAGGTTTTGCTTGGTAGCTTTGGAACAACATAGTCTTGGGTCAACCAGGTTTTTGCCCGAAGAAATGTTGAAACCTCAAACAAGCAAACAACCCACCCACGTGCAATGGGGATACTGAATGCTTAGTGCGTGTGGTTTTGGCCTTCGGGTCACCCGTTTTGAGCCTTGGGATGCTTCAACAAATGGTACCCAAAATGGAATTCTCGTAAATGTAAACATGGTCTAAAACCTGCGTTTCCCTGTTTTCACCCTTTTTACCCAGACCCACTTCCACAAATGTTCAACAGGGGGCCCCCAACAATTCTGGCTTTCCTGGTCTCTCTTTAAACACCCGCTAACAAGGGGGTGCTTCAAACATCTTTCTTCAGGTTGGTGAACCCCGGGCGCCTCTCGATGGAGACCCGTGACTTCCTGCGAGCCGCCGGAGATGCGGAGGGCCGGGCGTCGGTGGCGGCTCGGAAAAAAAAAAAAAAAAAAAAAAAAAAAAAACGCCGCCTCGTGGTCTTCTCCATGGGGTCCGGGCCCTTTCCGGGCCCCAAGCGTTGAACACAGCAAGTTCCGGGTCAGCTAAGCAGCAGAAATCGAAGTCATGTTTTATGGAGTGCGCTGGGTTCGACTTGGTGTTGAATTCGGTATCGGTGTCCACCACAGGGCCCCCAAATAGAAGTCTAAGAAGGCCTGGTCAGGCCATATTTGGACGTACCGGGCAGTAAAGGGGGTTGGAATCCATGAACATGGGCGTGTTTGCTTGAGGGTACGTACCTTTGTCGGGGTTGGTTTAAAGGGAAATCAAACGCGAAGCCCCGCACACCCACACCTTTTGAGGGTCCCCTATTTAGAGACAAACTCTGTCACCCTTTTTGCATGGTTTGAACATTGCCATTTGAGCCAATTTTCGTTCAGTTGTCCTGTTTTGTTTCTGCCAGCGTGCTTGTGGCAAGTGGGAACCATCCAAAAGATCAGTTTTTGGTGACCCCGCAAACTGTGAACGTGTTATTGGCAAAACAGGTTGCTTGGACCCTTGTTTTTCAGGGCTCCTGCTGATATCACAATCCGGGTGAACGGGTCAAAAGATCACTTTGGGGTTCGACATTCTTGGCCTCCTCCCCCCACCCCCCCGCCTCTCCCGGCAGCCCGCTTTTTCCGCAAAGCAGAGGCGCTACCTTCCCCCAGACTAACATGGAAGCTCCAAGGACCCCTTTGGAAGACTTGGTTCCATTTATAGAGGCCTGGGAGCTTCCATGTTAGTCTGAGGGAGTGTACTCAGGCGGGTCATGGGGTTGGTATCCGGTGAAACCACCCCGACATCGGCCCCCAGGTGAACCTGCCCTACGACGAGGCCTGCGAAGAGGAGGCGCGAAGTTGTGTGACGGAATCGCCCTGACCTGTTGGAAACAAACGGGGGTTTCCAGGAAACCTACAAAAAGGTCAGACGTTTTCGTTGGGGAAGAGCAAACCAGTGGGTTGATTTGTAAGCATGGTTGCAACTTGGACTCCTGTGTCTCACTGCCCAAGTTTCTGGAGTCCATTGTTTTTGGAAGACCATGTTAGCGGTAAACAGCAGGTCTAGATTTGGTGGCCGATCGCATCCAAGTGAATGTCACCCCTCCTCAAATCCCTCCTTTGCCCGTTTCCCAAAATTTCTGACAACAACTATCGGCACTATTCAGACCATGTTTGGCGTTTAACCAGCGGGAAGGAGGGTTAGGGGAGGGTGGCGGGGGTTGGATATGCGGTTCCCTGGACATATCCAAGAAGTTTCTGAAAATTTCTCAAGCGGCCTTTTTTTTTTTGTGGGGGGTTTCAGAGGGTGCCCTTTGCCTAAGGCGCAAAGCCTTTGTCAATTGGTATCTGTTCAATGGATGACAGTGAGCATGGGTAAAGGCGCCAGCAAACTGCACCCGTGGCACCAAGCAATGTGTGTGGGAAAGTTAGTGAGCTCCCAGTGCGAGGTTCGGTTGGTCGAGCTTTCCTGGCAGTCTGTGGTCCATTTGGGAGATGGCGGACTTACTCAATGTTGAATTTTCCCAGGTCCTCTTGAGTCAAGGAGCCTTGTAATTTTGCACCGTGGCTGCCCTGAAGTCCCCCAACACCACCCCTCCCCCCCCTTGAAGCCCCCAACATCCCCCCACCCCACCCCCCACCCCACCCCACCCCCCACCCCACCCCCCACCCCACCCCCCACCCCACCCCCCACCCCACCCCCCACCCCACCCCCCACCCACCCCCCACCCACCCCCGCCCCATTCGGCAGGCCTTTACCGTGGCGCTGAAAGAGCTCAAGAGCCTGGCCCTCTACTGCGTGGAGGATGCCGCGAGGTTTTTCCCGGACCTCTGCCAGGTCGGTCGACAGGGCAAGGGTTCGGTGGATATGGCTCGTGTTTTTTTTGTCTTTTCTTTTTTTGCGGCTTCTTTTGTGGTTCAAGCAATACTTTGAACATGCTAAAAAGCCAGGGCTTGGGTTTTGTCGGCGAGATCTTTAGTCCGCTTGTGTCTCCATGTTCCCGTTTGAAGCGGCAAGAAAGAAGACGCACTTTGCGCAGGGGTCGAGCCCACTTGTCCGGCTGAAGGCGATGTTTCCCCAGAGACCAATGGCTACTCAGATAGCCTGGGACAAATCGCTAAGTAGTTTGCAACCCTAGTTGTAGCCCATTCACCATGGTAGCTCCCCTAAACCGGGGCAAAGCTGTTGTGACCCATTTGCCATGCTCGTCAGTCCCCTAGGGTTGCTAGCCATTTAGCCCAGACTCCCAGACCAAGCATTGCCCAGCCCCAGAGGTCGGTTTGGAGCGCCTGCCGCTTTTGGCGCCCCACTGGCAGCCGCTTCTGCGGGAGCAGCGGCTCTGGATGAGTAGCGGGGGCGCGGAGGCGCGGAGCAGTCGCGCCAGTCACGCCAGTGGCGGGGGTCAAAGGCCTACGGCCTCTCAATGGGGGGGCAGGGGTACTTCATAAGTGGTTTCCAACAATGGTTATAGCCCGCCTACCATGGCGAATTTGTCCTTTGTTAAGACTACCCTCCTTCCTACTAACCACTAACATGGCCACTATGCCTGGAAGATAAGATTTCCTCTTGAAGGGACCGTATCAGGGGCCCATGTTCGTGGACGAGAGGGTAGTTGACCCTTTTTGGGGTTGGTCAAAAGGAAACTCCTCAGTTTGACATGTCCCGCAGATCAACTGGGTTGTGTCAGATGTGCAGCCGTGCTATGGTCAATGGTCATGAACCTTGGGGTTGTAGACGACAGTTGTCAAGGTCCTGCTTTTGGGGAAGGAGTTTCAGGTACCCCTTTGGTGGTTTGGACTTGGGGAAAGGAAAACCCCCTTCTTGCAGACGGGAAGCTGGGAATCCACCCTGCATTCAGATGAGTTGATGACTCCCCAAACTGCCACTGGGACATAGAGGTTACTCGCCATCAAATGGGTCAGAATTAAACAGCTGGGGTTACGCAGGTTTTAGTCCACCTGTCCATTTGCCAGATTTTGGACCCCTATTTTTGAGCCACAAATGTCATTTGACCGTGGCTCACCTGGGGCCGACTGTGGACTTCGTAGGGCGCTGCTGCAGTCGCCGCCGGCTTCCACTGGGACCACTTGCAGAACATCCATGTGGTGTTGAGCGGCAAGAAAGAGGCACGCCCGGCAGAACCGTGGAATTCCCTTGGTTGGTTCCCACGGTTTGGGGGCCAATGTCCGCGAAATTGCGAGTCTTGCCAAACCAAGCTCCCCCAAGCATGGAAGCTCACTTCAGCGAGTCGACTCCTTGGCCTCTTGTCCCGGCTCAACCTCCCCTTACCCACACGGCAGAGGTACTTTCCGTTTTACCATGTCCAACATCAGCCAACTTGCGGTCAAAGGTTAATGCGCATGGTCCTTGGGGCAAGAGAGGAAGTGCACAAAAGGACAGTCGACTTGGGAAAGACGTCAGTGCACCGACCCATGTTTGCTGGGTGCGCCAAGCCATGTTTCTTGGGTAAATTGTGCGTTGTCTCCAAGTGTGACCAGGTATTCTTGATTCCTCCGCTGCTGGCGCCTGCATTGCGACTCGAAATGCATTCGTCTTGTTTGTTTTTTTGCTCTGACCTTTGGGGCTTTCAAAAACAGGCAGACAATTCACTCGAACTTCTGGACTTCAACTTGCAAGATCATGTGCCCCAATCCACCCAGGAAGCGAGAACAGTTCCCAACTACCCTCTTTAGAATAATGGACATGGACTTTTCCGGGCTTGCAGAAAAGAAAAGTAGTCTTTTGTACATCCTGCACAACGCGGATTCACATCCTCACAGGTAGCCGAGTAGTTATTTCTATTGCAGGGGGGTTTCGTCGGGGCAGGTAGAAGGAATTAAGCAGATAAATCATGCCTCCCAAATCAAGGACAGACCAGCAGGATTGCTCCAAAAACACACTCAGTACAAGGGCAGACCGATTGGTTTCTGATGAGCGGTACCCATAAAGGCAAACTTAAACTGGTATATGTAATATCATGTCTCCTTGAGTGGGTGTTCACCTACCACTCGTTAAACAAAGTTGACCGTTGACGACCCAAATCCTTCGTCAGAGCTCAGGGGTCAGGGGTCAACCCTGATTGTCATGGGACCCCTAACGGTGGCAACAACTTCAGGCCGGGAAAATGGATTCGGTAGAGTAGAGAGGATAAGACAAGCAGAAGGGGCATAGCAACACTGGCAACTCGATTGGTCGTTGGGACGATCACTATGAGACAATGCCAATGGGATGGGACGGGTTTAAGGTTTTTATTGGGGAAGCCAGAGGCATGGTTGTGTGATTCCAAGGGAATCCCCTTTCAACTGCAAAACACAAGTATCACATATGTATATATATATATATGCATATATACACATATATATATATATGTCATATATGTATACGCATATGACACACATATGTGTATGTATATACATATCTAGTCTTGACGGCAATCCCACTTTACCAGTGTCTATCCACATGGCAGGAGCCCCACATTTGGTGTCAGCCCCCCAATCGGTGGAGCTTTCCAGGGCCTCCATTTGGGGAATTGGTGAGGTCTGCGACCCGATTTTGCCCACAAGTCCAGTGGCAGATGTCCTCAGAGGATGGAAGGACAGGTGGGCGTGAGTGGGTTGCTTGGTTGCTTGGTTGGTTGCTTGGTGCTTGGTTGCTTGGTTGCTTGGTTGCTTGGTTGCTTGGTTGCTTGGTTGCTTGGTTGCTTGGTTGCTTGGTTGCTTGGTTGCTTGGTTGCTTTGTTGCTCGGTTGGTTGCTTGGTTGCTCGGTTTGCTGGTGTTTTTGTAGGTTTGTTTGTGTGTTTTGTTTTGGCTTTTTGTATAAATGTGTGCATGGTGTATGCAATGCAACGGAATGTAGTACAAACATGTAATGCAACGTAATGTGACGGAATGTAATGTATGTAATGTATGTAAGTAGCAATGTAATGTAATGCAATGTGATAGAATGTCATGTACTGTAATGTAATGCCATGTCATGTTATGTCATGTAATGTATGTATGATTTTAGGTATGCACGTTTGTAGTGAAATGTCATGAAATGCAATGTCATGTGATGTAGTGTATGTTGTGATATAGAAATGTATGTATGTAATGTAATGTTGTCTAATGTAATGCAATGTAATGTACTGTAGTGTAATGCAATGTACCGGAATGTATGTATGCATTAATGTAATGCATGTAATGTCATGTATGTCTGTACGTATGTATGTATGTATGTATGTACGTATGCATGCATGCACGTACGCAATGTAATGTATTGTAGTGGAATGCAATGTAATGTAATGCAATGCAATGTAAGGTGAGGTATTGTAATATATGTTGGTATGGTATTGTATGGTATTGTATGGTATGGAATGGCATGGTATGTATGTATGTGTGTATGTTTGCATGTAATGTAACGTCGTGCAATGAAATGTAATGAGATGTAAAATAATGCATGTATGCATGCATGTATGTATGCATGTATGTATGCATGCATGTATGTAGTGTATGTATATACGCAATGCATGCCTGTGTGTGCATGTATGTATGCATGCATGTATGTATGTAATGTAATGTACTGTAATGTAATGTAATTTAATGCAATGTAATGTAATGTAATGTAATGTAATGTAATGTAATGTAATGTATGTGTGCGTGCGTGCGTGCGTGCATGCATGCAGGCATGCAGGCATGCAGGCATGCATGCATGCATGCATGCATGTTCGTTTGTTTACTTGATTGTTTGTTTCTCTTGTTTGCTCTTTGCTTGCTTGCCTGCTTTGTTTGTTTGTTGTTTGTTGGTTTTTGTTTGTTTGTTTGCCGGCTTAGTTTGTGTTTTGTCGTTGTTTGTTGTTTGTGGCGTTGTGTGTCCTGCTTATTGTTTGTCGTTGGTTGTGGTTGTGGTTGTGGTTGTGGTTGTGGTTGTGGTTGTTGTTGTTGTTGTTGCTGCTGCTGCTGCTGTTGCTGTTGCTGTTGCTGCTGCTGCTGCTGCTGCTGTTGCTGCTGCTGCTGTTGCTGTTGCTGTTGCTGTTGCTGTTGCTGTTGCTGTTGCTGTTGCTGTTGCTGTGCTGTTGCTGTTGCTGCTGTTGCTGTTGCTGTTGCTGTTGCTGTTGCTGTTGTTGTGTTTGTTGATTGTGATTTGTTGATTGTTGTTTGTTGTTGATGGTTGTTTGTTGTTATTTTTGTGGTTGTTGGTTGTTTGTTTGTTTGTTTGTTTGTTTGTTTGTTGTTTGTTTGTTTGTTTGTTTGTTTGTTTGTTTGTTTGTTTGTGTGTGTGTGTTTGTTTGTTTGTTTGTTCGTTCGTTCGTTCGTTCTTGTCGTTTGTTGTTTGTTGTTTGTTGTTTGTTGTTTGTTGTGTGTTGTGTGTTGTGTGTGTTGTGTGTTATGCATGTTAGGTTTTGTTGATTGTGTGTTGGTTGTTGCTTATTGATTGTTGTTTGTGCGTTTTTTTTTTTTTGGTTTGTGTGTTTGTTTGCTTGCTTTTTGGCTCTTTGGTTGTTGTGGTTCTTATTATTATTATTGTTTTTGTTTGCTCTTGTTGTCAGTATGTTGTTTCTTGTTGCAGTTATTGATATTGTTCTTGTTGCCCCGGAGGTTTGGATTGGGAAAGCCCACCAGAAAGCATGCGCTGGTTGCTAGCGGAGAGCAAAGTGCAAAGTCGTTCTAAGGGACCCATGTCCTGCCCCATACCGAAATGGGGCGAAGTCAGGTACATCAACAGGCGTGGAAGTCCACCAAGCCACAGTTGTCGGTAGCCGGGTATTGGGGCAAGGTTGGGTTTGGTCATGAAACCGACCATATGTCGGCGCCCCTGTCGGCACACCTAAGCGATGGTGAAATGAAAGCTTGGGCAAGGCTCTTCCTGTATTTCAAACAGAGCATTTGTCAAAACATTTGTCAAAGTACCGACAAGAACATGAAAGTGGTTCTCTCCCCGAAGAATATGGGGTTTCGGGGCAACCAAAACGCTTGCGCTTTCAGTTGGCAAAAACGGCTACACTAGCATCCTCACCTCAGCCGCCCTTTGATAGTCCCATGTTCCTGTGGCTGGATTGCCAGGAACATGCAAGGTGGTAGAGGTACTCATGACCCGGTGAGCTCATGGCGCGTCTTCCGGAGCTCATTTCCGGGCGAGAAAGGCCCCTCGCCGGGCTAGGATGAGGCTGGGGAAGCTGGAGATGAAGCTGGAGGAGTCCTCCTCAGACTATGCCCTGGTCTCCGTGGATGCCACTTATCAGGAGCAGCTTGGTAGGGGGAAAATGTTCGGGTTCGGGTTCGAAGAAATTCGAAGGAAGGCTTGCGCCAAAGAATTGTCAGGTAGCATCCGAAAGGAACCCATTTGTTTTCAGCTCGTTGACCCAAATTGAGAGTTACCGTGCTGTTAATTTCCTTCTCTCAGAATGCTGATCAACCCCTGGGGGTGGTCTCTGCGGTGGTTGGTAGAGTTCCTGAAAATGGTGGCTAGTTTGCACGCATTGTTCTACTCCCCTCAAGCTAACTTTGAACCTAGCAAGGGGTCGACTCTCCAGTCTCTTTACCCATTCTCTTCAGAAACCACCGTACGTGTTTTGAGGCCACATATGGGTTGTGAACAGTATGCCCCATTTTGGGCCCTTGTGCCGCCTTGTGCCGCCCAAGGAGACACCAAAAAGAGGCCCCTAGTGTTTGTACCACGTGAGATGCGCATGCGCGACATCTTTCTGCCGCCCGAGGAATCTGGCGCGACATCCTAGCATGGCGTCGGAGCTTAAGGAGAGGGATATGAGAATACACGGTCCTTAGGTGTTCCCTTTGCGGGAGCTTTAAAGATTCCCTTTGGTTGCCATGTTCGACTGACTTTCCTTTTGAGTGATGTTTGGGGGACCATGAAACCAAGCAACGTGCTTCTGATGTTGCAGCGTTGGATGAGTTGCTGGTTTTGAATCCACGTCCCGAATCTCTCGTCTGGCCAGGTGCGGCGGGCCTTTGTGAACCGCATGGATTTGTGGAAGCCCAAACTTAGTTCGTCATGACCAGCTAGCCATGTCCAGGTACCGGTAAGCAAATGGCCAACCCTCCAGTCACCTGGGCCTCGATGATAGGAGCCGCCGCTGTGGGTGGTGCTGCATCCAGGTGACGCGCCGGGCTGAGCGATCCCGCGGAAAGCGGGTTCGGCGCTTCGACGGACTTGACTTTGTTGCCATTTTTTTCAAGGGGCCCTACACGGGTGCAATCAAACGAGTGCCAGCTTGCACCAAAGGGCACTCACCTTGTTGTTTGCCTTTGTGGTTCTCTCTCTCTCTCTCTTTTTTTTCGGCGCAGCCCAGAATCTGCTTTTCCCCGGCGCAAGATAAATATCCCCTCTCATCAGTTGGTTTCCTTTTACTTTTCATTTCATTTGCTGAATTGGGCCCCACTTTTGACGCATCCCTCATGTTCAAAAGCAAGATTTCTCGTTGGGTGAATTGACCATGGCTTATGAAAGACATCCGAACAGGCACAGTCCCTCTGACAAGGCTGGGAAGTCAAGGAAGCCATCTAAAAGCTGAGCAGAGTGCAAGGCTATGAATTTGAATGGTTGGACCAATGTTGCCTATATCCGAGTGTATTAAATCCCGATGCATTTCTGTTGTCCACCAAAGGGGAGAGAGGGGAAGGGCGGGGTTGGAGTGGTTGGACTCCTGTGATATCCCTTTGGGCGGTAGAAAGTTGGCCAACGGTACCCTTCCGCCAGGGATTTCGGAAAAAACTCTGCACGAGCTCACCTGGGGTCGCATATTCCTCTGATAGGCTTCCTAGTTGCATGTTTCAAATACTTATATACTACTGGCTAGGTTAAAGGGAACCAGCCCCATTTTCTGACTTTGATACCCCCCAGAGAGGGCAGAGGCAAAATCATCAGTCCCAACCCAGACTTTCTTTTAAGTCCCAAGGCAACTTTCCATGCTTTGACTGGATGTGGCGTCGCCTCGAGGCGATCTACATCCCACCGGGCTGGTGGCATTCCGTCCGTACCTGGCGCCCGGAAAACGCCGCGGTACCGTTGGCGCTGAGCGCCTTGTTTGGGATTCGGCGCGGGTGGGGTGGATTGCATGGCAGGCAGACGGCTACTAGGACCCCATGAGCATAATACTCGGACAAAAGTGATTCCCCACTGAACTCAGGGACACCCATACTAGTAAACACGGGTTGATTAATATGGGGTCAACATTGTGACCGTCTGCGGGTTCCACAGAGAACCACATCTGGGCAAAAGGAAACAAGCACATATTCGCCAGCCAAAAATAGAGGACCCCTACGGACCTTCATCGGTGACATTGCACAACCGCCTTGTGACGTTGTAATTTGCCCAGGCGCATAGTTACCGAACAATCCAGGGAGAATCCGGCCCGTTCGCCCTCTCTTTCAGTGACTGCCAGCCATGACATTGGCACAAAAAGCTCAAGCTGACCCAAGCCCCACCCCCCACCCTCCCTGCGGCGGTCTGAATGATTTCCATAAATATGGAAGTAAGCACAAGGAACCTCGCCCTTCAACACCTTCCACGACTGTTGGAGGGATGGCAACCCGCATTGTTGTGCAAGAAACACCTCCCCCACCCACCCATCCACCCACCTGGCCCCCCCCCCCCCCGCCCCGCCCAGCCCGCCCACCTGCAAACCAGTCCGGCAAACAACGGAAAGCGCTCGGGCAGACAGCCTTTCTCTATTGTGCGCCGGCACCAGAGGTTTTCCGTCGGCTGCCCTTGACAAGGCAAACTCTCTTGTCCGAACGACGTTTTTTTTTGGCCCGCTTTGACAGTAGTCAAGGACCTCCCAAAACGTATAAACAGCTGACCAGACCTGCAAATCACCCGGAACGAGGTTACCCCCCCCCCCCCCGCCTACAACTTCGTACACTAACTCCCAGCGCTTCAAGCAACATGACATGCTTTCTTTTGCTGTCCCTTGCTTTCCTTTGTTTTCCTTTGTTTTCCCTTGCTTTCCCTTGCTTTGTTTTTCCCTTGCTGTCCCTTGGCAAGCCACCGAAAGCCACCACAAGCCGCGCGGAGACAAAACCTGCCTCCAGAAAAACTCCCAAAAAATGGGAGTATTTTTCCAGCGACATCCCCTGCATCGCCGACCCCACAAAAACTTCCAAAACAAGCGACATCCCCTGCATCCCCGGCATCCCCTGCATCCCCCGGCACCCCTTGTGCGCCCAAGTCCGGCGAGGCCGGAAGCAAAGTAAAATGATGTAAAACTGGCACGCTTTTTGGCCCGCGAGAGCCACAGACGAAAAGGTCAGACATGATAGGCAGCGTCGGCTAAAAAGCGCGAAAAACACAGGGAAAAACGCAAAAAAAACCAGCCTTGCGGTGGCAGAAAGTGCTCCAAAAAATACTCCCAAAGAATGGGAGTATTTTTCAGCTGACCAGACCTGCAAATCACCCGGAACGAGGTTACCCCCCCCCCCCCCACAACTTCGTACACTAACCCACCCCCCCCCCCCCCCCCACAACTTCGTACACTAACTCCCAGCGCGTTCCGTCATCCCTCCATGTTCCTTGCAATGCCCAGGTGTGAACTTCTGGTACGCCATGACACCAGACTCTCAGCTGCAGTCAGCCCCAGTGCACGGGGTGAGGTTCATTCCTGACCCTCCCGCCCTTCAACGACTTTTGTCCCTGTCCAAAAGTCCAAACAGCAATTCGTTGCATAGGGGACCCCCCAAAAAGATGACGAAACCGAGCCTCTCCAAAACACGGCTGAGAACCAGCAAGCGGATGTGTGTCAAAACAGTGGCACCCAAACCTGGCGGTGGTTTTCTTTCAAACCAACCTAAAAAGGGTACCGACTCAAAACACGGCCTGCGAATCAAGCCGCTCACGAAAGTTCGGACTTCGGCAAACCCAGTGAGCCCAAACCATCCGCTTGCGGATCTCCAGGTTCCACAAACCCCGCGCCCCGCACAGGAGGTTGCAGCGGCGCAGGGCTCCACGCTGCTCACTTTGGAGATCCTCTCCCGACAGCGCGCCACGGCGGGAGACCCGGAGGAGCGGAAAGGAAGGCGTGCGGGTTTCTTTCGTTGTTTGAGGGTTGCTTTCAATTGGAACCCAAAGAAAGCAGAAGAAAACAGCACCATTTGGGGGGTGCCCTATGTTAAGAAACAAGGTGTGCATGTGGGTTTGTTTTTTTAGGGTGCCTTTTTCAGGTTGGTTCACAGCGAAGCCAAAAGGAGAAGCTATTTGCGGGGTCCAAATCTTTATTTGGGCATATACCAGCTCATGTATCATGTGCCCTGCAAGGGTACCATCAAAAATCGCGCACCCATACGTGTGATACTAGTTTCCTCTCCTTTTGTTCACTTCTGCAGTTAACGAACTTAAACTGTTTGCCACGACAATTTTAGTAGCAAACACACGGTTAAAACTTGTTTTAGCAAATCCACTCGGGACGTGAGTTTGGACATTTTCTGGGCAGCCAAGTTCTTCCAAACTGCAGGAAAACATATTAAGTCAATTTGCTGGAGATATGGTTGGATTTGGCTGATTTTAGACTGGTCCCAACCATTTACCAGTGAAATTCACATCATTTGTCCAAACGGTGGGGAGAGATGAACCTACTTGAAACTGTAGGGATTTCGGATATTTGTGGCTGGAGAGTTAGCCTGTACACCTCATGTCCGGAACATGTTTCATTGTACCACGACAATTTGGGGTGGGCATTCTGTTTCTACGTGGATTCAAAGTACACAAAATAGAAGCAGAACTCGCAAACTCGGTGCATATCCGTTGGCTTCGCTTCACAGCCAGCCGGACACAGGCAGCCATCAACAAAATGACACGCCAACCCTGGTCCAGCCTTGTGATGATCTTAAAGCCTGTTCAACTTTTTGCCCTTTTGTTGTTTCATGTTTTTACCCTTCAACCAGCACCAATGATCTTTCTATTTTGGGGCGCGGCCAACACGGGTACCTTTGTGGGAAGGTCTTTTGCGTGGCAAACACAAAGTTCAGACCATCGGTGTTTTGTTTGGCTTACTTTAGACATAAATGGCACTGGTTTAGATGGCTTGATTCCATTTACTAGAGACATCTATTTGTCCAAAAGGTCAACTGTTCAGACTGTGTTGGACCCCCCCATTTCGAGGGATTTCGATGGACCGCACAGGACCACCTTCGTGCATTTCTGGCCAAGCTAGATCCTGCGCCCGACGGCTCCTTTGTGCCAGTGGACTGAGCGGCAGAAAGAAGAAGTAGAGCTTCACTGGGGTCTCCTGCAAAATAATATGGAATATTTTAGGGTAGACTAAAGCATAACTCTAACATATCATGTGTCGTGTATCCCTTTTTTGGCCACGAGACTTGCCCAAAGCGAATCGATCTTTTCACTGGAGTGAAAGGGTTGGAGCAAGCCTGTCCCTGACATCGGAGCTCTCACTTGTCCAAAGCGAATCGGCCTTCTGACCATATTGTTTTTCCAGAGGCTAACCTTCTTGTTGGTTTTCCACATTTGATCCAAGCTTAGCCATTCCGAAAGGCGAGCCTTTTTGATTGGGTGCCCCAAGGGCAAGTGGCAGAAGAGCACGCCCTTGCAGAGATTGAGCCACGATCACAACCGATTCTGGTAGGTACAGGTTAGTGGGGACTGTCCTCAGTTGGCGAGCCAGCTGTTGGGGTATTTACATGCATGGCGCCGCTCTGCAGTGGTTAGCTGATAGGAAGTGCAGATGTTTATAGCCAAGACAGACAGAGGCGCGCACAAGTGAAGCAAGACAATATGAGTCAGAGTGAGTCCAGAACATTACCCGGCGATCCAAGCTATCAGCAGAGCAGTTTGATCCTGGCTTCTGTGCCACATGGCCGACTCCGCTTCAGCTGACCTGACCCAGGAGCGACTGCTCGCCGCCGCCGCAGAATGATGCAGCTATGATGGAAATGACCGGTCGGTCCTTCTTTTTAGTTTGGTCCCAAACACCCCCAATTGTATGCACCCTAATCAACATTCGGGATTAACTGCAGGAAATAGGGGGGTGGGCGGGTGCGGGGAAGGGCCTACTTTCCCGAGAGGGAAACCCAAAGGAAACCACAAGTTGGCCTGCGCACCGAATGGGAATTCCAAACGAATCAAGTCCGACCCTCCATAGGGTTCTACGTCCAGTGAGCAACCTTGCTTTTTCAAGTTTGTTGGGTTGAGGGCGGGCAAAGTTACCTGAGTCTCCATGAGGTTGGATATATGCGAGCTGAACAGGTCCTTGCGAGAGCTTTGGTTTGCAGATCGTCCTGAAAGCCAGGTCTCTCGCGCTTGGCCTCGGATCGTGCTAGGAGCTGCTGGGGGAAGACGACGCGGACACCGCGTCTCTGGAGGAGCTCAAGCATCAGGCGACGCAGGCGCTGTCCGCGCGCAGCGGAGCTTGCAGAGGGCCTGGGAGGACTTAACCGAATGGGGAAACGTGCCAAGTGATTTATATAATCTTCAACATGTTGGCCATACGATTTGTTCCCCGCAGATTGGCAAGAGCCCACAAAGCCATCGCTCCCTTTTTGGCTTGGGATCCCAGGATTCAACCTGCCAGACGACCCCGATTTGTTTCGGCCCCTGAAACACCGAAACCCGGAGAGGCAAGTTCCAAGAAAAGGCGCCCCTTTGTCCCCATAGCTGCTGGCGGCCTTTTTGTTGGCCGGTTCTCCTAGAGATAGAGACAGTGGACCCTGGGAGATGTGGGCAACGATAGCTTTCAGGGGCCGGCTTGGTTTCACTTATAAGGTTATTTCAGAGGGAAGGCAAAGGCGACAGCCGTTTTAATGGGTTTTTGACAAGAGCAAACAGGACAGTTGAAAAAAAGGGTTGTTCGAAAGGGCCAGCAGTGCCCTTTCATGCTGGGCTTCTCCAGTGAAACGCTCACGCAAGCCCAAAGGACTCATAATACAGCCGTGCCAGAAAAGAGGCATTGGTTTGAAGGGATTCTCCATTCAAGCAGACCTCCAGTCGCTTTTTGTCAGGTCTGTTAGTTTCCTTTGTTCAACGTGCTCAGTTCTTTTGCTCTATCTGCAATCCACAAGGGGTTGCTAATTTTCCCACCCAGTTGGTCATCCTGAGATTTGGGTTTGTGTATATGCCTTTTCATAGGGGACGATTCGGTGGACATCAATTGGGGCGGGGGGGGGGCGGATGCATGTCCACCAACCTGGGTATGGTGGTTCCCCAGAACAAGTCATGTCCATTTGAGTTTCCCACTTGAAGGGGGCAGGGACATTTGGTTATGACCCGCTGAAGGGCTTACTATGCCAAGGTTAGCAGCCATGGTTACTAACCGCCATGTATCCTGCCAAGTTCCTCGACTGGTCAGGTTCTGAGCGGGATCGCTGTAGCCACAGCATTTTGGCACGCAGTGGATCTGCCTATTTTATGGCGAGCGATTCCACCGATTCGGGGGAAAAGCGAGCTCAAGTCATGTTGTAGGTCCTTGACTCGGGGTTCCACGAAGTTGCGTAGAATTGCCTGACCATGGGAAACCAGGTTTTTCAAACCGGTAGGGGTACATCTTGGCCAGCCGATCTCATTGCGTAAAAGCCGAAAGTGCCAATGTGAGTTGGCGTTGCGGGTCGAAGTCTGGTCAAGGTTTGCAGGATGCCCTGAGAGCTTCAGATGGAATCTTGTTCATGGCTGTGGAACATTGGGTTTTAGGTTGAGGTTGTTGGTGATGGTCCACAAAAGCCGCATCCTTCCACAACCATCCCGCGCTTCCGCGTTCGGAAGTGCTAGATCAGAGCGAGACGCCTGCGCGCGAATTTCTGCAAGCGAATGATTCATGAAGATTACATTGATTCGAAAACGACACCGGTACAGCTTTCTTAGGCTGGGAGATCCCCATCTTGGGAGATCCCCATCTGGCAAACGGGGGAAGACACATCTTGCCAAACTCGCTCCCTTTGACCCGCTTGAATTCGTGCGCAAATGGCAGGAAGCGGTGGACACCCTGTTTATCACAAACAATCCATCAGGCCGTCAACTAGGGATTGGGTATCACTGGTTGCTATTTTAGGCATGGTAGGTAATATGCCTGAGGCAACCCCCAGTGAATGCAGTTCCCCAAATTTAGGGGACATGGAACCCTTTGTCTTTTGTTGCCTCCTCGCGCGCTTGCACCGAAATAACCCTTGAACCCTTTAGAAGTCGGCAAAACTTCCCCCACAAACGAGCAAGCTCAATCTCCAGGGTGTTAAAGACCAACCCAGCCTTCAGGTGTTGGAATTCCTTCCATCAGCCCTTTGATTCAGTCCTCTGCAAGGTTTTGGGCACATCAAGCAAAGAAGTTTGCCCCAAAACAACCACATCGATCGATCCATTTTGAGGTGATTTCCACCTGCACGCTGTTACTGCTGGTTCCGGAGCTACTCACTGCAGGGCTTTTGGCCTACACCCTCGGGCCCGGGGCCCCCGAGAGATTCGTTCGGAGATCTCCGGTCCACTTTGCCCGAGTGGATGGACCAAAATCGCTTCTCACCAACACCCGAGGAAAACTGGGATCCACCAAGGTGCAGGCTGTTGTCCGTCCACAGCAGGGGTATGCGCCACTAGCGGGCATATACAGGTATGTCCAATTTGTGTTTGGGGGTGATGGTTTGGGGGTAGTGAATCCCTTTAAGAGAAATAATGCCTTTTGGGATGCGAAACGACCCCGGACAAGGCTGCGGTGTTATCCAGGTGCCAAAAATCCAGACGTTTGTCTGTGCTTTTTTGCTTGGGGTGGATCTTGGGTTAAGCATGGCACTGGTGGTTGCAGCCTTGTCGGGGGAGCTGGTCCCAACGAAGTTGCTTGGATGGTTCCATGGCATAGCCATAAATTTGAGCCATGGACCCACCGCGATTTTGGGGCCGGTGTCCAACAGGAAAGCCATGGTTACACCCTCTGAGGGGAGTAGTTCGAACATTCAAGCACGCCCCCCTGGTGTTTGTAGCTTCAATTAGAAGCCCCTTTGAAAGTTTCCCAGGTTCCATTTCATAGGCAACCAGGGAGAATTGGCGGTGACGTTCTGTGGCTTGCCCTTGATTCACTCGTAGCCACTCCACCCGTAACGCAGGCTCCGGCATGCGGTGGATGCAGACCACATCGCCGCCATTGATAACATCGCCAAGAGGCTCGGCACAGGGTGGTGCCAGGGAAACAAGTTCATGTGCGTGGTGATGTATGTCCAGCAACTATTCGCGAGGGTTCCTCAACTATTAAAGCATCACACTTAGTTCCTCAAAGCGTCGGAGTATGCCCGGCAAGTGATTCGGAAGGCCCGGGCAAATTGCCCACGGACGGGGACTTTGTATCCGATCGCCTCCTTAAGCAGCTATCTGGTGACGATTGGTCCCTACCAATCGTCCCCCAGAGTTAGTAAGCCTTATTGCGGTGAAACGAGACTTGAAACAATGCCTTAAATACGGTCGGATCACTTTGGCCGGCTCCGGCGCAACACCCAATATGCCCTATGTCCAAATGACTGGCTCAAGGGAGAGCAAGTAGTGAGCGTTTGCCGGAGGCTCGTTCCTGCTTTGGCATGACATTGCAGATGGGCTTGAACGCACAAAGCGGTGATCATGGAACAAAGCATGAAAAGTCTTTCTTGTCAAGCAGAAGTTGCGCTCGCTCAATGCTGCCGATATATGCCCATCGCCTTTCGCCCATGCAGCCTCCTACCCCTGCCTACGTTCGCAAGGTTTTATCCCCGACCAACGGCAGGCCGCTCCCAACCCTTCTGACGGCTGTCAGGCAGGAAAGGGACAACCACGTTTACAGGCCCTCGCTTTAAACATCACCCCAACCGAAATGTTTTAACATTTTGCAGCAAGTCCACACCGCGCAGCGGTATGGCGTAAGAAAGCAGCCTGGGAGGGAAATGGTTCAGTGTACTGTGTTGAAGATGTGTTGAAGCACGTTGTCACAACGTTCGAACAGCCCCTGAGGCAGCCACTGTTTAGGCGAACAGTTTAGACATGCTTAAACGGCCGTTCCGTTAATTTAATCATCAAGTTGTTTGAGCCGTTTAAACATGAGCTAGCGACATTCCGGCTGCCAGGCCTACGGCAAAGACTCAGGAGTCTTGTGAAGAAGGCTTGCAGGATGATGAAGATGATGAGGAGGGCCAAGTCCACGGCTTGGAGTACACATGCTGGGGCGTCGATTTGAAACCTATGTTGCCTGCAGCCCTTGCATCGTCAACGATTCTTGGAGCCATATGCATGATGACGGTGCAAGTCCCCGTTCTAAGCCGAACCACATTGATGTCGCAAGCTGCGCTTTCTGCAGCTTTTGGGGGACTCTATGTTGTCACACTGGCGTGCATGACATACTGCGCTTTTGCGGATCCCGGTCAAGTCAAGGGGACGCGGAACGCGCAGCTAGGAATGGTTGAGAAGGGAATGCCAAGGCGCGCACACAAGTCGTGGCAGTATCCCAGGCCCATCCGTCGGTACGATCACTACTGCAAATGGCTCAAGAATACGATCGGGCTTCTAAACCACCGGGAGTTTGTGACGATGCTGACCGGCTTGACCTTGATCTCTTTCCTGGGAATTGTAATCGACTTGTGGGTTGCAGTCCTCGTCCTCGTTGCCAAAACAGATGTCTTGCAGAGCGAGATCATTGTGGTGCTGCATTTAGCCTATTCGATTGCCTTGCTGGCCATTGAGGGTCCGATGCTCACCATACATGCAGGCCTCATCTCCAGGAATGAGACGGCGCAGGAGTGGAAGAAGAAGCAGAATTATGTGGCGAACGACACCAGCCTCGGTGACGATGTGTCAGTGGAACAGTTGGATGACGATGAGTACAACAATTTGTTTGACCAGGATGCCTTTGTGTATGATCGGACAAGGAATCCATTTGACAACGGCATCACATCAAACTGCTTTACTTTCTGGTGCATGCCCCGCTGGCCAGCAGACGAAAACGGAGAGTGGTGACAGAGGTCATACTGGTATGGAGCCTTGTGCTTTTGTCCGGGCTCGTTTCACTATGTCGTGATCAACATGGTCGCGCATTTGTACCATATCTCCTACTCAAAGCGCCGAAAAAGTGAGACCAGGCCTTGCCGTCAATATGTGGGAGCGATCACAGAACACATTGCCAACCTATTCTCTGACCTTGAAAGGGACGGGACAGGGTGGTTTTTGTCGCTGGCATAGAAAAGACCTTAAATGATGAAGGCCAAAAAGGGCAAATAAGGCCTTAACACTTAGTTGTTGGGGTGATGGGACCAGCTGGCCCCGGACTCCTGGCGGGATCCGACGAGGCTCACCACCATGAAGAAGCAGAACGCGCTGTCGGGCTTCTTTTTTGCCCTTGGGCACTCCACGGTGGTGGTGATCATGTCGGGCTCCCGGGAAGGGACTCGATCGGGTCCAAACTTGGTTAGGGCATGTCCTTTTTTGATTGTTTTGTTTGGGGGAAACCTCTTGAATATCAAGTGCAACAAAGAGACACATTTTTTGGTGTTCTGCTGGGCCCCGTAAAGTGGTTGCATGTTGAGAGGTTCTCAAACTTACTTTAGGGATGGTTTCCCTTTGCACCACCATCTGAGGATTTTGTTTGGTGTACTTAATGGGGCAGGGTATGACAGGTGTGTGCAACCCCCTGCAAATCACCCACGGAAAGGGACTCACTGTGGCTTTTGTGAGTTATAGCTTAGCCATTGGGTACTAACCACTTCTAAGTACACACACACACACGCCCATTCAAGTCGCAATGATACTGCCAGTTCCTCATGAGCTGGGTTTGGTCTTGGACCTCCTGCATGGCTTTGGTAGGTTAGAATCATATGGTACAATCCACTAAATACCTTGCCCCTGATCCCTAAGGATCCCTATCCGGTTACAAGAGACTGGATGAACATATTATGGCTAAGACATTTTGATTGGGACTGGGTGGACCCTCTGGTGGACTTCACGTACAGTATATAGGTTCGAATGTGTGCCCACCAACCACTTGTAAGGGGTTCCCCATTGAAATTCATGGCTGTAACAAGCAATTACCGTGCTCCAAGCAGGTAGGGGGGGAATTCCCCATGTTTCCTTGTTTCCCGCAATTAAGTCTTTGTTACCGTGGCTATGATTAATTAAGAATTTTAATGACTAGGTTAATCTTACCCATGGTTACAAGAAACTTAGACTGTCATACAAGAAGTACCCTTTGACTTGTTATCCTTGTGGTTTTTGCATCAAATCCTCCGAACCAGCGCCTTCGACTCGTTCCGACGTCTTCGGCTCGGCCGGTTGAATGAATCGGGTCAACTGGGGTGCCAGGTGCGGTTTTGTGGCTGTGGGGCGCCAGAGCGCCATGAAGCATATGAAGCCTCTCGTCAATTGGTGCACATCTAGGATGGCGCTTCCACCAAGCCGAGGCTACAACGGGGGCCCGGGGATTTTGGTTTCATGCGGCATCAACGGGAAAAAAGCACTATACAAGTTGCACAGGGTATATAACTTGTTTTTTTTTGGCCCCGGTGGTTTGGTGGAAGCGGACACCATCTTAGATTGCAAGGGAGAGACTGAATGTGCTTTCGGACTAGGTGCCATCAAATGAGCGGCGCCCAGAACCGATTCAAAAGGGCCATTTTGGTAGGTGGTTCGGTTTCTTCCACGCTTAATAGGGGCTGAGTAATCCCCTCCAAAAGTCCACGGTGATAGCCATGCATTGGATAGTTGCTCTCCTTGTCCTCCCATGACGGTTACATAAGTTACAGGATGGTTATGTCCGTTGACTTGTTGCTGGAGTTGCCTTTGGACCGTTGCAAGATATCAACACATGGCTGCGAACAATGGGGTAGGGCCGGTGTCCGTGATACCAAGGGAATCCCCTTGAAAGCGTCTTGGGAATTCACCCCTTTGGCATCACAGATTCCGAGTTTTCCCGCATGGTTCAAATGGCTACTTCAGATTGACGCAGCCCCCCAAAAAGCAAGCTGCTTTTTCAGGCATCTCGTTGTGGGTTTGGGGGACCCCCATTTGCGTCGAGACTGCTGAGGACACTGTCGGATGAGGGTGGCATCATCGCGGGAGTGTTTGCTGGTGGCAGCATGGCTGCATGGAAGATTTGATCACTCCACCAAAAGGAAGCTCATTCGAGTTTGCAGTGAGTTTGGCAAAATAAGGGTGATGTTTGAAGCCCTCAAAAGGGGACATTTTGCGGAACCCTGTGCAAGAAACGCGCTCGTTGGCCAGTTTTAACTTTTCGGGGTTGGTTTCTCAAACTGCAGCTACACGGTTGCGCCTTCTTTGGCTGGCGCACCACTTTGAGGTTGTTTGAAAAAGCAAAAAGAAGGAACCATGCCATTTTTGAAAGGACTCCCATTCTAGGAAACATTTGCATTATCCGTTTCTGGGAGATTCTGGGAGAAAAGCTCACTTGGCCGTATCTCTGGTGCAGCTCCAGCTGTTTTTGCCTGGAACGGTTTTTCGCCCCGCGAATCGTCAGAATTGGGAAAGTTGCGCCAAAGTTTTCAATTCGAACGGCCTCGTGGTTGACCCAGCAAAGCTAGAACATAAAATATTGACCTTCGTGGTTGACCCAGCGTTGATTCAGTCGACATACCGTCTCCGTACTGAAACATTTGCCAAGAGCAGCTGGGATCATTCTCAACATGCTGTGTTTTTGTGAGGGTACTCTTTTGAGGCTTGCTTGGCCAAAAGGGAAGTCAAATTTGCAAAGGAAAACCATAATTTTAGGGGTCCCCCTATTTTAACACAAACCACATGGCAAAGATTCTCTCCTGCGAAAACTGGGGGGTCTCCTCCATTTTTAAGAAGCAATTGTCAAGGGTAGGCCAAATATGAAACATATGAAACAGACTTTGAACATGTGTCTTTGTGCACGCCAGACAGATTTGGGCCAAGAAAGAAGCAAAAGACAACCCTACTTCGCACCGGGTCCTTCTGCTGCGGCTCAGGCTTCCTGATTGCAGTTGGGGTGCGGCGCTCAGGTCTGACCCCGTGTTTTGCTGAAACTTATTGGGCTCAGTTCTCGCATGTGCTCCCAATTTCCCCATTGTTGCCAATGTAAAACAAAATTAGAATCAACTAAACTCGGAGACCACATATCGCCGCTCAAGTCTATTCCGTTTACAGCGTTTCACGTTCTGGTTGCCAATGTCGAGGGCCTTGATTGGGCGGGGGGGGGGGGACATGGGAGCCCTGCTTGCTTGCACATATTTGCACGTTCCCGTGGTACCCAAACAGGACACCTTGGTTTCTGACCAGCACAAGGTGTCTTATTTTGTTGAAGGTACTCAGCCGGCTGAACTTTTATGGCCCAGTCTCGTGGCGAAGGTATATCTTCCGCATCGGCACAGTGTGTCCACCCCACCACAAGACCAGGAAATGAGTCTCAAACCCGGTGCTTCCAGTTTCCACAAAAGAAAGGTCACCAGGGGAAACCATCATGTGAAACCTTAAGGAAGCCTGGTTTCCTACTATATGGGAACTGGAAGCACTGGGAAACACAAAAAGCAACGCCTTTTGGACAGCCAGGGGCGACAGGCCACCAGGGTTCGTTGTCAAAACGTCGGTTCCAAAGCACGCCCTTAGACTTTTCTGACTTTGGAAATTCATAGGTGTTTAATAGGGAGCCACCTCAAAAGTGGTTGGTGGACAAAAAGCCGACCTAAATGATGACCATGTCCCCAATCAAATGTCAATCCCATTGCTCCACACGGACCCCTTTTGTTTTTGTCCGAGGTGATGAATTTATGCACGGTCCGCGTGCTTTTGGAGGACTGGCGCGCGCGGAGCTGAGAGACGATTCGGATTTGGATGTGTTGGAGGCTCGATACCCTTTGGATTGGTAAGGGAAACCACCAGGAAAGCAATTTATGTTTTAAGGCGAGCTCACAGGCTCGCCATGATTTCTGTCCTTTGCTTGGGGGATGCCTTAATTGAGCTTTTGGAATTTTAGTAAACTTTGCAGATTTATCAAGGGGCGCATCACCATTTTACACACACCCATTTTAGTTGGTGGTTCTGCTACCTGCTCTTGGTTCATACTGTAGAGCCTTAAGCCTTTAGCATCTCGGCACCTTGATAGTCAATGGGTTTCGGGTCTCAGCTGCTCAAAGGCCATGATTTGGTTAGGGATTATTATCACCATCCATGGCTTTGATATATTGATTTACTATTATTATTATTATTATCATTATTATTATTATTATTATTATTATTATTATTATTATTATTATTATTGTGTGGTCAAAAGATGGGTTCCTTCAAGGCTTCAGGATTCTGGTACAAAACGGGGCAACTTTGGACATGAATGGATTCTCATGGGATGAGCATGGCCGAGCAACGGGTTCATGGTACATGCCGTAGCGATTGCTTCCAGTCGCCATTGGTAGCCAAAAGAAAACCATCGTTCTGAGGGTTATTGTATTACACCCTGGGATTACACCTGGGAAATGACCCCATTCAGGCATATTTCTAGATAACACCGTGTTATTTTGAACTATTTTGGGTCATGTTGCAAGGGATAAATCCCAGGGTACAATACAAAAACCCTTAGAATCGTACAAGTACAGCTACCTCATCATGGTAACTGGAAGCACTTGGTCTAGGCACATGATGATTTCCTTTGGCCACTGAGTGGCTAGAAGCTATTGAAGCGTTTTCCGGAGCTCAGTTTTGTGCTTGACAACGTTGACATTGAGGAAAGCCTTGGCAGCCAGATTTATGGAATTAGATTCGGCGCCAAGGGGACTCATAGAAACTAAACTGAAACTCATACCATGGCCTTCGGGCCAAACTTGGAAGATAATGGAAGCTTAAACACACCCTTCAAAGGGGCGAGCCTGGCTCGCAAAATCGGGTTCTCCGAAAGACCCGAGTCGGAGGAACCTCCAACAGAGATCACGTCCCCAGGCGAGCCACCAAAAGCCCCTTACGGCCCTCGTTGAGTTCCGAATCGAACGCGAGTTGATGGCAGCGCAAAGCGTGAAGCCTGGCGAGCCAAGGAACAGAAAAGCCGCTCTGCCAAATGAGGGGCGGGCATGGCGTGGCAGGTAACGGGATCTCCCCGTTTCTGGGGTTAGCCCTCACCAGCATGGCGGTTTGATCCTTGGATCCGGGAAAGAAGATCGGTCCCTTGGAGACAATGTTATTTTCGATGCAAGTCGCTATTTGATTTTTTGGGACGACGATCTAGTTAAAGTCGGAGCCGGGGGGTGGCTCGTGTATGCAAACCCTGAGACGGTTCGGCTCAGGTGACTTGAGAGAGTCGCACACGGGAAAAACCTACTAAACTCGTCAGGGATGGGGGCCATTCTGCTTTTGTCGAGGTATTATAAAGGAAAGCAACTGTGGACAAGACTGTTAGTTGACCTGAATAGGGCTATCCTTTCCCTTGGCCCCTTGGGGGGCTCCTTGGGAAGGTGTGGAAAGCAGAGTCCCCCGCGCATTCAGGGCTATGGCAGGGTCCCTGTTTAAAGGAAAGCAGCCACCCCCCCCCCCCCCGCAAAAAAAAGAAGAAACAATGCACAAGAAAACCAGTTTTTTGCCGAGTGATTCCCAAAGCTTCGGGTATATCGGAGGTCGCCCCCCTTTTGCCGGTCTTTGGTACGACCTTAGCCCCTGAGACTTGCTAGACCTTTTGATCAGACAAACGAAAAGTCGAGGATATGGCCAGCATGATCACGCAGTGGCTGGGCTCTGCATGAGCTGCTGCCCTCGCCTCTTCAACGGCATCACCGCCAGCTGGCAGATGCGCCCTGCTCGCAGGGCAGGAGCCATGGGAGCAATTGCTTCCCTAATGGCCTCAATGTCAGGTTACACTTAGGGATGTCACAATGTGTGTTTGCGTGTGTGTTTATGCTTTTGAGGGTGTTGCACTGAGGTACCCGGTCGGCTTTTTGTTCGGCCTGGGCTTCGATACCTCCAGCGAGATTGCGCTGCTGGCCATGGTGCCCTGGGGTGGGGTGGGGTGTTTTGGGGCCCCCGCGAAACTGGCGAAGAAGAAGAACTGAGTGTGTGTTTTTGAAGGTATTCTTCTTCTCTTCTTCTTCTTCTTCTTCTTTTTCTTCTTCTTCTTGGGTTGACTCAATAGGAAACCACACCAGGACACCACCCATGGCGTTGCACGGTGATCACACACCCTCCTTCGGGGACCTGCCACCTCCGCCACCCAAACGCGGGAAGACTAAAACAGACCAACACTGGAGCTCAGCCCGCCCCAAAACACACCACGACAACAGGCTGGTTGGTTGGTTGGTTTGTTGGCTGGCTGGCTGGCTGGTAGGTTGGTTGGTAGATTGGTTGGTTGGTTGGTTGGTTGGTTGGTTGGTTGGTTGGTTGGTTGGTTGGATTGTTGGCTGGCCGGTTGGTTGGTAGGTTGGTTGGTAGATTGGTTGGTTGGTTGGTTGGTTTGTTGGCTGGCTGGCCGGTTGGTTGGTTGGAGTGCAACCGTGGACGGGCGAATCCACAGCAGCCACAACTTAGCATGTGGTTTCTCTTGGTATTTACAGGGCTTTATCCATCCCAACTGGTGCGACGTGGATTGATTTTGTGAGTCCCCCTCCAAAAAAAAAACAGATCCCCTCACAACCCAACCATATTTCTCGCGCATTGCTCAAGTCATATCAAGTCATGAAGCAGCTCCTACCCAACAAATCACCCCAAACCGCCGCACTCGTCGCCCGGTCCCGGAGGTAGGCTTGTCCAGCGGCCTGCGTCATCCCGTGCCTTGCCTTGGGGCAATGTCGCTCCCCGAATTTGGCGTCGACTTACCTTGTAGAACTTGAACGCATATGGCCGTGGCTCAAAAAAACCGGTACCAAAATGGAACCCTGGTAAGTGGAAAAACATGGACCAAAAACCAGCGCAACCATCGTAACCCCTCCAGTTTAATTTTGAGCCACACCCATATTTCCCCCTGCTGGCTTTAAACAGAATCTATCACTACTGGACATGTCCTTCATTTTATCCAGGCGATGTGAGCAAGTGCAAGCCCGGCTTGATGATTCTTCTTTGCTTGGCGGCAAGAAGGGAATTGTGCCGTGGACTTTCCTGGTGTAGACTTGTTAGATTAGATTCTAGAGGTGATTGTGGCATGTCCCAGCAAAAGCTTGACTTTTGCCAGGGATCAACGAAACACTAAGTTTCCAGAAAGGTGATGCCATCTAGAACGCCATTTGATCGGTTCACGATGTTGACATGCCCTTGGATCTTTGAAGTGGCAAACCTGTCACAAGGCAAACCCAAGCAGTTTTGTTTCACCGATTCGGGTCACGGAACATGCCTCAAAGGGATGGAATTACCTTGGATCCCAACACACGGGTATGCGTCAAAATATGAATTAAGACCCCCAAATTCATTGGTTTCCTATTGGTTTCCCTTGGAACCAACCCCAAAAAACGCACCCTCAAACGCCACCCACACCCACATGGTTTCAGGTCCTGTTCTGCCATCATTTGCTTATGACTAAAGCTGCATGTGTGCTCGTCGGTCAGCTGATCACTTGTACTGCGGAATACCGTCTTGCCGAGTTCGATAACAAATGGCAGGGTCACTGCTCCTAACAGAAAGACCGAAATTCACATGGCCTTGCGTCAAAACGCCTTCCGGCTGGTGCCACTACACACTTTATCCATCATGTCATTACAACTTTAGATTGGTCGCTATCTTAAGGGAAGCTTCTTGAGTGGTAAGGTAGGTTACAGGAAAGACAGGATGCAGTGGTAGGAGCCCGCCGATGTGGCAGCTATTTCCCATTTTTTCAACACTCACTCGCCAAGTATTGTAGGAATCCTGGACGGGTGTGACATCGAAAAAAAGAGCATTTCCACGACCCCCGAAACCAACAACCCCAGTGCAGACACGATACTATGAGCAGCTCACAATATGATCATAACCGACAACCGACCCACAAACAACTACCCATCTACCCGACCTGCAACGGATGGCCATCCAAAACCGGTAGCCTGGTAACACGTTCCAAAAGCTCAAAGGGTATGTCCCAATTTCCCCTGTGCACAACTTTTGGGACCAATTGTGGCTGTTTTTCTCGTGGCATGTTTACTGGGCTGTCCAAAGGCACTCCTAAATCCTTCCCTTGGGTTACAACCATGGGTGCCCGTGGCTTCCCTCTAAGGAACATAGATTAAAATTGGCCAACCCTCCATGTTGAACAGCCCAGGTGTTAGGGGGGGATTTAGGGAGCCCTGGCCTTCAGAATGCTAGAAGCTGAGGGCTACGTGATGATTTTGCCCGTGATGTTCCTGGCGGGCATGTGCCTAGTGGACACCCTGAACGGGCTCTTCATGGCATGGCTGTACGGCAAGACCTCCAGCGGTATGCAGAGATTGCGCCTGAACTGAAACTCAACAGGAAGGGCGCGTACCCGCAGTTAAGAGACCCCCTCCCCAGACATGTTCCCTTGTCGGGCACAACCGGGGGGGGGGGGCCTCCCCAGCCCTTGTTCCTACTTGGGGGTCGATTCGAAGCCCTTTTGCCGCCGTTTGCGGTAATTAATTAAGACGCTGCAGAAAACTACCAAGCCCGGGAAACAAGTCAATCCCTAGCCCTTGCGATGCGGAGGAGGGGTCTGTGGCGGATGTTCTAGGATCCTTGGCATGTATACAAAAAATATGGTCGTGCCAATGAGACGAATCAGCCTGAATTTGAATGACTGTTCTAATGAAAGGTGGGTATTGCAGAGGGGCTTGTGTAGTCGAGGTGAACATGAGTGAACATGGTGGGCACAGTGCGGGAATGGCCTTGATGGTGTTCAAAATTAGGGTTCCAAGCCCTTATCTAAAGACCAAAGTGAAAAACAAAAAAACACGTTTCGACCGTTTTTAGGCTTCTCTTTTTCGCAAAAGTTGAAGCAATGCCTTGCGGGCAAGTTTGGTGTGGTTCCATTTGAGGTGGGGGGGAGGAGTCTATTGGGAAGAGTCCCCCAAACACCACACCCGTTGTTGAGGGAAACCTGGGCCGAAATCCCGCCGACAATTGGCCGTTTCCAAATTGTCTGGTGGCATTCAGCCAGATTGGCTTGCTGCCAAGGTACTTCAACATCTATTTGACCGCGACGACAGCCATGCTCCTCGCAGAAGTTTTTGCAGATTGTCGGCGTTCGTGCCTGCCTGCCGAGCAGCGTTTGCCGTAAAAGCCGCTGTCAACAATGTCCACTTCGAATCAGTACGAAGGGCCATACTAATAAGGGTTTGGTTTCCGGTTGAGTAAACAACCATTCTGTTCTTGGGATTTCTTTGACAGATAGTCCGGAGTCCGAAGTGAACATGGTTCAGGATCATGTGCCGTTGACGTGGCATACTCACCAGAGACACCATGACCATAGCTCATGTTTGCTTGTGGCACATAGAAGGCCCTTGGAAACAGATGGACTGGGCTTCAACAGGCGTAGCGAGTCGTAGTTGTAAGTACCCGTCCTGTGCTTTCCGCTTGTGCTTTCCCACTAGGGCCATTTGAAAGGGGTCCAGCAGCACATTTTGTGGCGGTCCAGCCCTGGCTTCTCCCACACCACCCCCGTGGCCGAGTTTTCCGGGCACTGGCAGCCGGAGGTGCATGCCGTGGGGCAAGGGAACCCAACCAAGAGGAAGCCAACGGAAGACATGGTCCCAAGTTGGGCGAGTTTTTATTTGAGGGTAGTCTTTTGGGGCTTGGCTGACAAGACCCAAATAGGGGACAAAGCGTATCTTTTGCGGGGTTCTTCTATGTTGAGACAAAGACATCGTTTGGAGACATGTCTTTTTCAGCGGCAAGACAATACCTTCATTGGGGCTTCGTTCCCAACTTTTTGATTCATACTCCCTCGTAAACCAACATGGCCCTTTGGTGCTAAACATGACACCTAGCGCTTCCGGTTAGCACCATAGTAGGTAACCAGCTATTTTTTGCACCTGTAGGTTTTACCATGCATTTTGTTTTCTTCCTTTTTTTTTCTGGTTGCCTACTATAGTGGCGAAACGCCTGGAAGCACTGGGTAGATGCCTAGTACCCCAGGGGAGGTCCCAACTGGACTTCAGGCTGGCGCTCTTCATCGGCTCCTTGGAGCTGCTGGGGGTGGCCGCCACGGTGGAAGGCCGTCCGCTGTGCAGATGAGGGGCTGACATGGGTGTGGGTCAAAACTAAACCAACAGGGGACCGCAGATTTTGGTCCATGGAAACACACTTACCAGGGTTCCATTTTGGGTACCTATTTTTGACCCACAGCCACATGCTGTGGATGGTTGCGAAGTCCAGAAATCGCACCAAGTGAGTCACCATGGCTGAAACCATAAGGTTTGTGGGCACTTGCAGGGGAATCGAATCAGGAACCAGACTTTCTGAACGGTGCGAAATGGATTTCGCAACCATCCACAGTATGGATGTGATTGTGGATGTTTGGAGGGTACCCGTGCTGCGCCTAGTTCAACGGAAGTCCCAAGGGGCAAACAACTGCCTTTTGATTTGGGGGGCAGGGGTCCCCTGTTCTAGAGACAAAATGACATGCGTGTGTCTCAAACTCAGGGGAGCCCCACAATGGTTGGTTTTCTTTGATCTCCGTTTAAAACCAAGCAGGGGGCCAGCAAAGGACACACAACACCGTAGGAGGTTTGCTCGATTTTGTTGGATTGGTCTATGATTCATTTGGGGTTCAGGACATGGGGGAACGAGCTCTAAACATTTCCCCACAAAATCTAACGTGCACGTCCGCAGGTCCAGCTTGAAAGTTGCACAACTATTCAAAGCAAGCCAGGCGGTGGCAGAAAAGGGGTCGCTTTCCCAACCTGTGGTTCAGTATGTAACGAGGTATGTAATGACTACTTTTTTTAAGGGGCATGCAACCAGCCACGCAGTTTTGTGGATGTGATTATGCAACGGAGGTATAACAAATCAAAGGTATGTAGCCATGGCTATGTAAAACGCCAGGAGGTCTTGTTAGGTTGTACCGGGGTATGCAATGCACGTCTCACAACTAATAACTCCCATATGTGTCTCCAATAGGAAAACCCCAAAGAGGGTGCCCTTGAGCAAAGACAGACCCACTTGTATTGCAAGGGTATCGGTTTTGGATGGGCCCCTAGTGGGTGACACTCATGGTTCCCTTCATAGCAACCTCTTGATTCGCCGGGACATTAGAATAATGAATAGATTGAACAGCCGTGACTTTCGCGCTGAAGCTGCGGAAATGAACTTTTTGGCTTGCGCATTGTACCCACTAGTACTTGTCCAGCGCTGCTTTCCCGCTACACACCTACGTAACAAGGACCCCGTTCCATACCTGCGCAACAAGCTTCGCACCGCGTCGCACGTTACATACCCTCAAAAACAGTCATAGCAATATGTCAAAAATGTCTCCTCAAACCCAGGGATTGTTGTGGGGGCCGGTCCCAAATGGGTTGCTTAGAGAAGCAACTTTCGAGCTGAGGGTTTTGATGTTCAACCTCGCGAGAACATGTTTCTGAACACTTCCACGTGTTGTACCCTCAGCAGCAGTTGGTCACAAGGGTGCCAAGTTGATTTAATTGCTAGAGGGGCAAAACTGGCTGGACATGTTGTTTCTCTCATCATGAAACTAATTTGCTTTTGCATTCCCCCCCTATAGTTCCATTATAAAAGTTCTCGCCCGTTGAGTTGGCATGCTTTGAACTTTGGCCAGTACAGGTCAGACAATGACTTTGACCGTCATAATTAGTCATCGTCCCTGTCGCTTCCCTGGCCTGCACCGTTGTTGCATGATGGTTGTTTGTGTTCTCTCCTGTTTGTGATATGTGGGACCCTGCGAAGAGGCCAAGAGATCGGGTCTTGGCAATGTAGATTTCTCCCTGGGAACAAACAAACTCGCTGGTGCGATAGGGAATGAGAAATGGAATGAACCTGAAAATTCCCGAATCAAGGACATCGCCAGTTGGATTGTTTATTTAAGTTTTTTTTTTTTTTTTTTTTTTTTTTAAATACATATATTTATTTATTCTCGGTGAACCCTCATTCCCTGCATCGATCTCTCGCACCAGCCACGACTCCGAGCTAGTCGAGGCGAATCGATTCGATCGACAGGGCTGAAGCAGGGGTTCTGGTCCTGGGTGGTGGCCTTTAACGCCAACTTTGAGCTGGTGGGCATCACGGTGGTCTTCTTCTTCCTGCGCCCAGATCGGCACGGAAAACGCACGTATGGGGAAAGCGTGGTGTTTTGTTGAGGTTTTGCACCATGGGCACCTGGTGGGTGCAAAGGGAAGCCACAGGAAAAGAAGACAAAACACCATTTGTTGTGGCCTCCCGTTTTTTCCTTTGACGCATACCCATGTGGCAAATTGGGTTTTAGGTTCCCAGTTTCCCCTTTCAGGGTCGACTTTCTAGTGATACAGTCGCTCCAAGACCCATTGGTGATACTTGATTTGTGGTTTCCCAACATGGAACCAGCGGAGTCCCCTTCAACGTCCACATCGGTAGCCCAAAAAGGGTCATTTTCCACAAGCATGCACGGTGCTCAAAGAAAAACCTTATGGCCAGTTTTGGAGAATATGGGGCTTTTCCCTAAAGCCTTTCATTTGCGCCCTCAAAAGCCCCAAGCCTCGCATCCTAATGGACTCACCATGGAGATGGATTCACATGAAAGCAGCTTGGCTCTGGGCTACTCGGGGCTTGCACCCAGGCACGCACTGCCCCGAGAGATGTGGGAGGACACCCTTTGGTTTCGCAGAGACACAAATCCGAGCCGCACACGGACCAGGGTGAGGCTGTTCCCAAAGAGATGTGAAGAATCCCGTTGATGACCCCAAGAAGAGAGAACCCCCACAGTTCGAGTACCCTCAAAGGCACACCCATCCTGAATGGGTGTCTTTTGAGCTTTCAGTTTGGTGGAATGGATTCTGTGGGGGTCTGTAACTTTAGAGCCAGCTTTGCATGAGATAATCTTTGTAGAAGTAATCTTAGAGAAACTGCATGTGCAGTTGGGTGAAAGTAGATGGCACAATTCCCCCATGTTGCATATGCATCCCCGGTACATACCCATATAAAGTGAATTCTGCATCCGTTTTCACCCTGGTGGGACCTGCGACAGTACGGATGCCCCCCCCCCCACTGAGTCCGCCAATGGTTTTTGTTTAGCTTCCCAGTTGATCCCGGTTGCCAGTACAGCAGGGAACGAGCCGGTTTCCTTTAAGCCTTTAAATGGCGGTTCTGTTGGTTACCTCCTTAAGCAAATGGAACCACTGGGTTTGGGTTTGGATGAAACTAAAGCCAAGTTTGGCGCTCACAACTCCGGCTATCAGGTTGAACACAGCCCTGGCCATTGGCTGCTATCGGCGATTGTTTCCGGAGGACAGGGGAAGCCGATGCGTGAGTGAGATGTGGGTCTCGCGCTTGTCCCCCCCTCCCTCCCAGAAAAACCAACGATAACGCACGGTATGCCTTTGTTTCCCTTCAAACAAATGTACCTACAACATACATAGGGGTCCTTAAAGAGGTTTGGCGTCCTTCTGGTCAGAGGCTCCCCGCTGGCAGAAAAAACGCACCCCCCGAAACCTCGACCAACTCGATGCGGCGAAGAGCCTCGCTCGGCGCAGGACCGGCGACCAGTGCGCAAGGACCTGCTGAAGTACATCGAGCGCGGAGAATTCATCGACCGCTCAGGGATCTGACCTCGCAAGCCCAGGGTTGCTCCTGTCGCATGAAATCAAAGCGGTCTCCAAAAGCTATGTGTGGCTTTTGGGGCAGGTGAAATACGAAACAGAATCTGAAGGCGTGATTTTTCTTTGAACTCCAGACCTAGGCCAAGACATTTTGAGGGTAGAAACTTGGTTTCCTTTGGCAAAACAAATTCTATCCTGGTGATCAGTTTGGTCTTTGGAGCAACCTTGGAAACCCATGAGAGATTCCTTGCCAGCTATGAACCGTGCACATGGGTGGCTCATCTTTCTTTCAAGAATCGGACCAAATGGCCTCGGTGGTCCTTTTGGGTCAGTTGGTATCACAGTATCACAGATCTCACAGAAAGTCGCAGTGGGAGTTGATGCTACAAACCTCTTCTTCCACAGCATTTCGAGCCATGGCAAGGGCGCGGTTTCGAGTGCTGGCGTTGGCGCTGCTAGTGCCTTGCACGGAGGGGTGGGTTTAAACAGATGGTTGAAACAGTGGTGGTTTGCACATGTGACAAGTGATTTGCTGGCTCGGTGGTCTTGGAGAGGCGGCGCAACATAATGCCACCACAAAAGCCCCGCTGTTGACCACCGAATGCATTTGGAACCACCGGCCCGCTTTCTGCAAATCATGCGAGAGCGCGAGAGAAAAAAAAGTCAACCAGCGCTCGAGGCTTTTGAGCCAAGCTGGGTTCGCCAATACGACCAAATCCTCCAGGTTGGTTTCCAGTTGCTTTTTTGTTCAGACCATACCAGAAGGGGTCCATAATCTTTAAGAAACACCCAGTGAGCTCTCCGCTTGCTCAGGTTGCCCTTGTTGGGTTGGAATTTGAATCCCTTCTTGTTGAGGGTAAATAGGACCTCCCCCCTTGCATCCAAGCCACCGAGCAAGTGGAGGCTAACTCGACCCCCAATTGAATCTAAATGGGTCGAAAAACAAATCGAACCCGCGTCCCTTTTCGTTCTGGGCTGTCCAAGAGCTTGTTTTGGCCCACACATGCCCACACCATTGCAAACCGATGCTGAGAGAAGCCATGAAGACACAACTGCTTCGCATCGTCTTGGGTTCTTGCAAGCACCTATGTCATATGTAATTAAAAACTATACGAAACAAACATAACATAGAAAACTTACAAGCCCCCAACTATTACTCAAACCGATACAGTCGATACCTAACCGATACTCATGCTTGCCATATCCAACCAACTGCCTGTTTTTGGGTTGTTATCTTCCTACCAACTCCTCGTTACTCCTGACCGAACGTGCTTTTGAGATACGCGAAACAAGTCCGTTCGCAGGCCGCCTGCTGCCTGCTTTTCCTATGCGTGTTACATGGCATTAACTACCCGGAGCCCCCACAACATTGCAAGCCCATGCTGAGGGAAAAACGATACTAACCGATACTAGGGTATAGGGGTGCAAAGGTTTCATACTGAGGTTTTTCCGGCCCGAATGGGGAAGGGATCCCTATACCGCTAAACCACCAAACAAAATCACTAGGGAGTAGGATGACTTGGAGACATGACAGGTGTCCGCACATGCGATTTCTTCAACCACAAATCCACCGTGCGAATTGAGAATGAATTCTTTTGCCCTAGTAGAGCTCGCTCACGGATGTAGGGGTTGAAAGAAACACTTGCTCAGTCATACTCATTCCCATGCTTGCAGGATTCCTTGCCCTGAATTCGAGAAGATGGCTGTTCTTTCAAAGACGCTATTGTGGAATGCAGATGGACATGCCCTTCTATCCTTAAATGATGCTGCCAGTCATGGGAGAGCTCACGCCCGCGGCGCTTGGCTCGTGAGTCTCAGATCGCGGGGCTTCGCCTCGCCCTAGGCCGGGTGTGTCGGAGTCGGGCGTCCATGTTTGGCCGCCCTGGTTTGGTAGTTATTGGTCGGGCAGAAATTCATCGAAAGAGTTAAGCACCGAGAGCTGAGATCTCATGTCGAGCCTATATTTGTCAACCTGGTGGATTACTAGGAACCGTTGCCTTCCTTGCCCAAGAGAGCTAGAGTGCGACACCCCAATTTTACTCGGTCAGGAAGTTACGAATCCTGGGTGTCCAACTGGGGCTGAAGGTTAGTCTCGTGGATCCTGTGGTTTTATAGAACTTATTTCATATTTCACTTCCCCAGTTTGTGGACTTCGTGACCGTTGTAGTGGTAAACTATAATGTTCAGACTTGCGTTTGCGATCCACTCAGGAAGAGAGACAACTCCTGAATGGATTACTATCAGACCTTGAGGCGAGATGTCTCTCACTGCGCGGTTGACTCCTAGGCCCGCGAGCGCTCGCTGTGGGATTCGATGGGCATCCGTTTCGCTTGACAAGCAACTCTGGTGAACAAGACATACCAAAGACTCGGGAAGAATCCATTTGGGAGGGGAAGTGATGCCATTTCTGTTCAGCAACCCTGGAGGGCCCATATTTTCTTGTGAAAGAGAGACCGACTTTGACCAGTTCTCTGATCTGTTCTGATACGAAAAGGCAGCCAACAAAAGCCGACCCTCTATCGAACAGGGAGCCTCATGGGGGAGACGTTATCAACCAAGGAGTGCATTATTGCATTTCCTTCACAGTTGCTTCCTTGCAAAAATCAATTAACACAGAGCTGCGTGTCAAGACGGTGGGATCTTAGAGGATGTGCAAACCATTTGGCGGAATCCCTTGATTTTCAATCATACTGTGGGACGCAATCTACACCACTTGGAAACCATTTGTTGCTGGTATTTACAGTATTTACAGGGGAATCGAATCATTCCAGGGTTTCTTAGGTGGTGCGAACGGATTTTGTCCACAGTACCTGTAGAGAAGGATGATCCATGCCATAAAGCAATTAAATTATCCCCGAAAACCCCAAACATGAATCTGTACTCTACCGCTATTGGGTTGGATCTTTAGACTTTAACTCTTTGGATTCCCTTCATCTGTCCTTTTTCAGCAGCAAAAGGTTATATACACTTTTTGCTGGGGGATTTGCAGCACCCAAGTGTACAGGTTGCATGGCGGAGAAGCCTCCTCAAATGTGGCGGGCGGATACAAACCCCCTATTCATGATGCCACCGAAGGGTCAACCACTTTGGAATTTAGATTCCATACCAGAAAAAGGAAAAGCAATGGACAAACAAGCAGCAAAGCGTGTTTGACGCATTATCTCCACTTGTGCTAAGCAAACAACCACCTTCTGCCCACAGATTCCGACACGAAGAAAATACCACATAAAAGCAATCCTATGCTCTCTTGTTCAAAGTATTTTTGCAGTTGTAATCTTAGGATGGCAAAGGGGTACTGCTGGTTTCCCGACCAGTCCAACAAAAAGAGGGCCCGCCCCCAACCCCCCCCCGGCCTCCCCCGCCTTTTTTCGGTTGAAAACGCGTCAGGGACGCCACCGGCTTGTTGCGGAAGCCGGAGCTGCGAAGCCCGCGAACACCGCGGGTGGAGCGCCCGGCCGGGCGCCTCGGTGACTCCCCCGAGTAAATTCCCGCGCGGGGGATTCGTCCTGGGTGCCCCCTTCATGGGGAAAAGAGGGGTGGCAATCAAAAGGCAAGGAAGGGGGTTTGCGGGATCTGTGCACACTTTTGGACCCCTGTTGTGTTCTCGGTTTGATATGCTTGATACTTGTTTGTGCTTGAGGAATGGAAACCGCCCCCCTTCTTGGTCTTCTACCTCACTGTAGGGGTTGGTGAGGTGGGGGGGGGGGGCGGGGATGATCATCTTTGCGTTGGCATGAGCAGCCTTCTTGAGTCAGGTGACCCTCCAGCGTGTTGGCTGTTGCTTCAGCCCGTCTCCACTCCTATGCAATCCATACCATGGCTATTTGGCGCAAGCCTGATGCAAAGATGCGAGCGCACAGAGCTCTCCATCCATCGAGAGAAAAGAGCTCTATCATTCTTGTATCAGAGGGACCTATCCTTGAGGCTTGGTGGGTTCTTGGAGACACCATACTCTGACCCTCGGGGATCGGGGGACAGGGGCGCGGCAAAAAGCGTGCCTTGGGCTGTGCAAAAGCGCGCGATGTGCAACGCTCGAGGTGAGAGCTCCAAAATCTGAGCCCAGTTCGGCTTGCGATTCGCAGGCGGTTGTGCGCGTGGACTGCTGATAACTTGGCCGGTAAGCAGGCCGCACGGTTGTTCGCGTGTACGTATTTTTTGTTTAGTGGCTGTTGTCTCTTTGAGGGTCCAATTCCAATTGTGGAGCTCTCGTTTACGCGTGTGGCGTGTGTTGTTCGAGGTAAGCAAACAAGTGGATATGACAAGGCAAGTAGCGTCACCCTGGTTTCTTGTACAGCGCAAGCTCGCTGAAGGGGCGTACTTCTTTTAGTTCCTTCTTTTTGTGCTTGGTTGCACGTGAGGATCTCGGGACCAACACGGGGTCCTTCTCCAATGTTCAAATCCAAGAGGGCGCAAAAGTGACCCTTCCTTTCACAAGGGTTACTTTCCCTTCGACAACAAGGAGCCTTCGCGCCACCGCGTGTTTCGGGATATCAACCGAAGACTTGAGGTTCACATCGAAGTCAATGAGACGGATCACCCTCTGAAGGCCAGAGCCCTCACGAGTGTGGAGAACCAAACGAGAAGGCTTTGGGTCCCAAAGTGCAGAAGCCAAAGAGACCTGCCCCCATTGTCTTTCAAAACCATGCATGTCTTTCTTGTGGGAAGCACACTATGTCTTTTGTTTGTTTTAATGGCTCACATGGTCACATGATGTTTGTTTGTATTCGACTTAGTCACTGATTTGTTCCCCTTTTCGCGCCGCCCGAAGTCTCGGTTTCATTATCAACCTGGGCTGTTTGACCAAATTACTGGCCAGAAGGGAAGCCACTGTCCGGATGCTGACCAAAACTGCCACTACCCGCAACGAAAGTGCTACCATCTATTTGCTTCTGGTGGGCCATGTTCTATCGGTTCAGGTGGTTTTGGGCCCCCAAAATCGGCGTCGGGTGGTAGTAGATGTCGGGTCAGCCTTGCAGGAGTCCTGCGGCCAAGTGGTCTCATGACTCGAGCCGGCCTTTGGTTGAATCCGTTTTGGATGGGTT